CACTAGACCATCTGGAAAACGCTGTTTTAGGATTAAGTATTTTTTAAGCATTCAACTTGGGCGCATTCTGGTTCAGTTTTTGCTTGGTTTAGGTCCTACCTCTTTGATAGAACGAAGGCTGTCTCTGTCGATGGCTGTCTCTCAGGCAGTGCTGATTTGGTGTAATGAGTGCCCCAGGGGTCCTTTTGGGCCCGGTTCTATTCACAATGTATACCAGACCACTACTCCTCTTGCTTGGGAGGCATGCTATTGAGAGCCAGTCATTTGCAGATGACACGCAGCTATACAACCATTGCCAATCCCTCTCTTGTCGATTCCGCTGTACAGACTTTGCGGGATTGCATTAATGATGTCAAGTCATGGATGAAACTCAGCTAGTTGAAGCCTAACGATGACAAAAACGGAAGCACTCCTCATTCACAATCACACATCATCTCCTACCTCAACTCTTCCCACCTCATTTCAAGTAGGTAACTCCGACATACTGTTTACACCCTCTACTAGGAATATTGTGTATATTCTTTCTAACAACATATCTCTCGATAAGCATATCTCTCACATTTGTCATTCGGCATACACCGCTATACGTCAGATCAGTTCCATCCGCCAATACCTCACAGTTAGCGCTACAAAAACTCTAGTCTGTGCTCTTGTTCTCTCTCGTCTAGACTATTGCAACACTCTTCTGTCAGGTTCACCAAAACACTGCATAGAAACCTGCAGAAAGTCCAAAACTCAGCAGCTAGGCTAGTTTTAAAGGCAAAAAACGTGATCACGTCACCCCACTACTTCACTCCCTTCATTGGCTCCCTATACAGGCACGCATTGACTACAAGTTGTTTGTTATCTGTCATGCATTTTTCTCGGATTCCTGCCCTTCCTATCTAACCGAATTTCTTTCTGTCTATTCAACCCTTCGACAGCTTCGCTCCTCCGCAGACACGCATATTCTGTCCATTCCCAAGACACACACTAAAACATATGGTGAACGATCTTTCTCTTTCTGCGCCCCGAAACAATGGAATTATTTGCCACTACATATCCGCAATATACCAACCACCCAGGCCTTCAAAACTGCACTCAAAACACACCTCTTTAAACTATGCTACCCTGAATGATTCCCCTCCTCTGACAGATAAATGTTCTTTTTGGCTGCCGTCCATGGTTTGCCTTGTAAACGTCCTGGGCTTCATGCTGCTCTTTATTTCATAATTGTATTTGATCTTAATGTCATGATTATGTCTATTTTGATAATATTTTTATGTACAGCGTGATGAGCCCAGCCCTAGGCTGGGGTAACGCGCTATAAAAGACCACTAATTACTAGTATTATTAGTTATGTCAACATTATGCTGACACATTATACTTTAAATCCGTTCACCAAATAACCAACAAATGCTCTTCCTACTAACAACAAGATAGCATGAGCGACTTGTTATCAATTACTATTTAAAATCTAAACTAACGTGCTCTTGCTTTTTAAAATAATTGCATCAGGATGAGAAGATCTAGAAAAACAATTTTTCCTCTTATTTTCACAATAAACGTCACAAACAACACCAGTAACAGGTTTAAAGTCATTGCAAAAACAAAAATGTGTTTTGGCGTCGATATTATCATAAAACTGCAATATGTAAAATTATTTGAAAAAAAAAACCTCATCATAAAACGCTTACCTCAGGGAATGTCATACCTCCACGGTTGTATTTGGTGTAAACTGGTACTTGATTAAAGTCATAGTTTCCCAAACGAGAATGGTCTGTTTTGTTCTTTACATGACAATACACACCACTCATAGATATGCCTAAATTTAATTTAACAGCAGGCATTCCTCTTTCCATCCAATCTTCCATTATAGAAGCCTAAAATTGTATTCATTTTAAAGATATATTATTTTTCCGTAATTCGACTGTATATATATATATATATATAGATATATATATAATTATATATATATATATAAATATATATACATATATATACATATATATAAAGACTGTGTGCTGTAATTGTGATGTTAGTGCTATGTCAATGGGTCATCAGTGTGATGTCAGTATGATGTCTGTTGGCTGTCAATGACCATTCAGTGTGATGTCCTTTATGTAAATTTAACGTACGTGTGATGTCAGTGTAGCGTCAAAGATGCAGCCAGTGTGTTGTCAGTGTGATGGCAGTTTGAAGGCAGTTTGATGACAGTTTGAGGTCACTCTGATGTCAGTAATGATGTCAGTGATGTTGTCAGCGGCATATCACTATATCATTGTTTCATTTCTCTTTTAATATGGACTTTGTACCGCGCTTCGAGCCATTGGGGATAAAGCGTGATTTTCAATTAAACTTTAATATTTTTATTATTTTTTTGTAACTAACGCACTGTAGCCCTATTCCGAGGACAGTTATTGGTCTCAAATATTGCACGAAATAACTATCACTAAAACGTGATAAGAAAAATTAGATTTTTAACCCCTTCTTCAAGGAATTTATTTTTGCGTTACCATTCAACTGGGTGTACGAAATAAAGAATGGAGACTTCGGGCACTAAGTGATTATTAAATTAGAATGACATTGGATTTAGACAGGGCTAGCTCTGCTTGCGCTCAATCAACTATGTGTAAATATTTTTTTTTCTTTCTAAAATTGATTATAATGAGCCAGTCGTTCATGAAAATGAGCCAACCATTAATGAAAATCAGCAAGCCGTTCATGAAAATGAGCCAGCCGTTCATGAAAATGAGCCAGCCGTTAATGAAAATGAGCCAGCCGTTCATGAAAATGGCCAAACATTGATGAATCTGATTCAGCCGTTAATGAAAATGAGATTAATATTGACAAAACTGATCCAGCCGAAATGAAGCAGAACAAAGCGTTTGATGAATCTGAGCCAAATATTAATAAACTGAGCCCAGCCGTTGATGAAGCTGAGCCAGCCGTTGATGAAACTGAACCAATCGTTAATGAAAATGAACCAACAGTTAATGAACATGACCCAGCAGTTGATGAAACTGAGCAAGCCGTTGATGAAACTAAGCCAGTTATTGTCTTAATACATCACTCATTGAATTAACATTGTAAAATAGATCCTGTCCACTGTTCAAATAGAATAACTTAATGAACCTGTCTTGATTTAGTCATAAATAATGGTGGCACTAATAAGAAAAGAAGACTTTAAAATAATGGCCAGACATCGAGATAAATTAATCAGCTTTTAAATTCCATTGACATTTGATTATTTTTTTAAAGTTAGCTCTAAGTTTTTGAAAGGAGTTAAAACTTAAGTGGGCACCACTGAAAGGGATGGGACGATTTTTAGAAATGTTTGCGTACGTGGCGTATGGCCGGGGTTGGTTTGGGGGGGGGGGGGGTTGGGCTTCTTGACAGTAAGTACTTAAATTTACTCAAATATTCTACAAAAATCATCAATAACTGGCTTAGTTTCATCAACGGTTGGCTCAGTTTAATCAGCTACTGAATCATTTTCATTAACTGTTGGTTCATTTTCATTAACGATTGGTTCAGTTTCATCAACGGCTGGCTAATTTTCATCAACGGCTGGGCTCAGCTTCATCAACGGCTGGGCTCAGTTAATTAATGTTTGGCTCAGATTCATCAAACGCTTTGTTCAGCTTCATATCAGCTGGATCAGTTTTGTCAATATTAAGCTCATTTTCATTAACGGCTGAATCATATTCATCAATGTTTGGCCATTTTCATGAACGGCTGGCTCATTTTCATTAACGGTTGGCTCATTTTCATGAACGGCTTGCTGATTTTCATTAATGGTTGGCTCATTATAATCAATTTTAAAAATAAAAAAAAATATTTACATATAGTTGATTGAGCGCAAGCAAAGCTAGCCCTGTCTAAATCCAATGTCATCCTAATTTAATAATCACTTAGTGCCCGAAGTCTCCATTCTTTATTTCGTACACCCATTTGAATGGTAACGCAAAAATAAGTTCATTGAAGAAGGGGTTAAAAATCTAATTTTTCTCATCATGTTTTAGTGACAGTTATTTCGTGCAATATTTGAGACCAATAACTGTCCTCGGAATAAGGTGTCCATATTCCCGCCAACTACAGTCTTCTCTCTATATCATCTTTCTCTTTCGCCCATTCTACATAGGGCCTACTCTCATAATGTTTGCTAGCCAGAGTTTATCTATTCTTGTGCTTAGACTTAGACATTACTCAGAGTTTTTTTTTTAAGCTAAGGCATTACCCAGAGTTTTTCTTTAGTTTATTCATTTCTAAGAGTTGTTCTTTAGTTAAGAATTTCTAAGAGTTGTTATTTAGTTTAGGCATTTCTAAGAGTTGTTATTTAGTTTTGACATTTCTAAGAGTTGTTCTTTTAGTTTAGGCATTTCTTAGAGTTGTTCTTTAGTTTAAGCATTTCTAAAAGTTGTTCTTTAGTTTATTCATTTCTAAGAGTTATTCTTTTAGTTCAGGCATTTCTAAAAGTTGTTCTTTAGTTTAGGCATTACTCAGAGTTGTTCTTTAGTTTACATCCTTATTACTTGACTACCTCACCTCTGTCTTCATGGCTACCTTAATACACCACGCAATATCTACACAGCTACCTTAGATCTGCCAATATCTCCAAGGTTAACTTACCCGAAATCCCTATCTAAAAGGCTACGTTATCCAATGTCCCCCCTAACTACAATGCTACCTTACCCCAACCCCCTATCTATAACGATACGTTATGCATTGTCCACCGTCTCTAAAAGGCTACCTTATTCACCCTATTTACAAGGCTGCCTTACCCAGCAGCCTATCAACAATTTACAAGGCTACCAACCAAAGCTATCTATAAACTTATCCCACCCAAGATTTTCCTCATAACTATTATTTAAGCATCCGATTATGATGAAAATGATTAATTTATGATTTTCACGATTTATATAAAATTACAAAACTAAAATTTACCCAAAGATTTTTAGAACCATTGATTCATACACTATTTATCAAATCATAATCGTCCACCTCCAGATGTCTGTGATACTCAGGCCTGCAGTATGTATATAAATTTATACATTGCAGTCTTCTGAAATCAAGACCAAAAGAAATCAGAATGTTGTATGTGCTTCTCTTCAGTCTTATCATCAGCTCTGGAGCAGAGGAACCGAATAGTAAGGATTATTTTAAGTTATACATTTATTGTTCTAATGTGACTAGCTTGAAACTATGACCTTAATGTTAAGTTATATCATAACTAATACCTTTTTTTAACTCAAAACTTATATAAAAACTGAGTGAGAAATATTAATCTAGGATAATCCACTACAGAAATTTAAGTTAAGATTTAGTCTATAAGAGTCCTTTAAAGCTATATAGGCTAGTGTATTAAAGTCATTAGGATAGGATAGTCCGTTAGAATTTTTAAAATAGGAAAGTCCATTACAGTCATTTAAGATAGGATAGACCATTAGAATCCTTTTAGGATAAGATAGACCATTAGAGTTATTAAGTTGGTATAGTCCATTAAAGTCCTTTAGGATCAGATAGCACAAAAGTATTATTAAGATGGGATAGTCCGATAGAGTCATTTAGATGGGATAGTAGATTTGTGTCATTAAATATATGATAGTACATTAGAGTCATTTATGATAAGATAGTACATTAAATTTATTAAAATGAGATGGTACAATAGAATCATATACTATGTGATACTCTGTAAAAGCATTGCTGCTCGCAATGCAGACACGGGTTTTACCTTTACACGTCGCCGACCTTTCAGTGGACCTCAAGTCCAAGCTCATTCTGGTTCAACTGGTGAGTTGAAAAAAACGACATAAACCAAACCTCACAAGAATTTCGTCAACTACCACCAGGGCACACATTTAAAAAAGGCAAAGACAGTTCCCGGAGGAAAAGTGGGCGATGTATGTAGCAGAGACCAAAACAAACCTACAGACCTTATTGGGATAAAAAACCTCTGAAGGCGCTGGTTGAGAAACGAGCAAAAATAATGTTCGAAATAAGAAAAATGCTTTATCACATGGGCAAAAACGCAAAAAATACACTTTTAAACCTTGTCTGTAAAACCTGGACAACTAGCGTCTTGCCAATAGCGTGGCAACAATCAGTGGTTGTCCCGATTCCCAAAGAAGATAAACCACGCGACCAACAGTCAAGCTAGCGGCCCATTCATGCCACATAGTGCTTGTGGGAAGTATCAGAGCAAATGGTCAACGCTTGACTTTATTGGTTCAATGAACAAGCCGAGAGCAGCCCAAACAACCATGGTGGCTTGCAAAAGAGAAGACAACCTATGGAACAGGTAATGCATTTCATCAAAAGCACAACCATAAGTTTCAACATGAAAAATCGTACCGTCACAGTTTATTTGACCTCCAGCAAGAGTATGATAAAGTATGGAGTGTAGGTATACTCTACAAGTCACAACAGCTCGGAGTGACAGACATTATGCACGGATTAATGCATTCTTTCTTATAAAACCGTATAATATTAACCCGTGTCGGGGACAAGGTTTTGCACATGTGTGACTCGAGGAAGAACTCAACAGAGGTCAGTCTTGTGCTACACCCCATTCTGGGCGTATTTTTATGACCTAAAGTCACATTTTATTGCAAAAAATGCAATGATTGCAGACGAGTTAGAATTTGGCTTATCCATTGCGCAGTTGTTGAGTCGGCTGTAGGTAGACCTAGCCAAGATAGATGACTACACTAGGTAAAGGAGATTGGTGGTGAATACGGAGAAAAGTGTCTACTCTTTGTTTAACAATAGAAGGAATGCTCTCAAAAAAGAAATCAATCTTTAAATTCTGCGGAAAAACAATTAAATGGGATAAATCACCCACGTACCTGTGCAATAAGCTAGAACACAAACTCCAGCTTCACAACCATGTACTTGAACTTGGCGTTCTTGCAACGCCGAAACACAGCCTGGTCTAAAAAAAAACACGGTAGCATAACTTGGGGAGCCTATACAACTCTTCTGAGATCACTTTATCTCGGAAGTGTAAGAGTTGCTCTAGACTACATCCTTCCGGTGCAGATCTTTTTAAGCCGAACAGCGTAGAGTGGCCTGGACAAAACCTAACCCTTAGGTTTGCATGGGAGGCGATGAGTACAACATCTTCGACTATTGTGAAAATAGTGTCAGACATAGAACCACTTAGCATTAGGCAGTACAAAGCCTTCTCAACGACAGTGGCACGTTACCGTCGAATGAAAAGGATGGAACCTTGTTTCCAATTAAAAGACCGGTCGGTAAAGCGGACAAGATTAGAGAGGCCCCCCTTTATGGATGCGGCCTATTCACTATAGATAAGCACCAAATACCAGGAGACAATGGGAAATGCGCTTGGTCCCGAAGAGATAACAGAACGATAGCTGCGATGGGGACATCTTTTTAAAGGGGCATGGCTATACACTGGAATAATGGACTAACAGCCCGGAATCTTTACCGGAACGTGTCAAAAAACAAACCAAAAGTGGGATCAATGGCAGCGTCCTAAACGCGACCGGCAGAGTCCCATCACGCAGATGAGGACAGAGCACTGCACAACCCGTAGCTACCTAAATAGGTTACCCCACTTTTGGGGCCCGAGCTGCCGTCATTGTGGACAGGCCCCTGGACATTCCTGCACTTACTAGCCATGTGTTCGACGCTAACGACTGGGGTGATCCCAGCCAACCACGTTGACAGTCTTATTTAAGGCACAGCTCAGCAGATGCGGCAGGACTGTATGGGACTAGACGTGGCCATAAAAGAGCAATAGCTCAGCTCCAAAAAGTGATTGTAATATATATATATATATATATATGTCATGGTCCATTAGAGTCATTTAATAAGATAACCGAGTCCATTAGAGCCATTTAGGATACGATAGTCCATTAGAGTCTTTGAGTTAGGACAGTCTATTAGAGTAAATTAGGAGAGTCCATTAGATTCATTAAGGATAGGAGAGTCCATTATATGCATTTAAATAGTTCATATTTTAATATTTTAAAGGCTAATCCCATGAAGAACATCATGTCTTAAATGTTTAAAGTTGAAAGAATCAAGGAAAAAATGGTAAATAATCCATTATTCTAGGCTTACCATAACGACCAGTTTGACCCATGATCAGTGCCGTCTTAAGGCATGGGCCCAGTGGGCACTTGCCCAGGGCCCCGCGCTTCTAGGGGGCCCCTAGCTTCTATGAGAGTCACTCTTATAAAGACTTCTTGATGCAAATATTGTTTATGAATATTGAAAAGTTTTCGCAATTAAATTTCAATGGACAGCACGTTTCCCAATTTTAACCCCCAATTTTATTGGCACGTTCCAAAATAGTATTATAAATGCGTGACACAGGCTGGATACTTTTTAAAATTTTAAAGGGGATAACGCTCGTCAACAAGTTTGACTTCTCCCAGATATGAATTGAGAAATCATAAAGTTAGAGCATTTGTTAACAAGCATGTTAGCCAAAGATGTTGGCCCGAGCGGTAATAACCCTAGATACGCTTCTGCTCCGTAGTGAAATTAGTGGAGAAACATCTATCCCAGCACCAGTTAAAGTACTACTGAATTTAATTAGCATTATACCAGTAACTTGTGGGGCACCAATGAATAATTATTGTTCAAAGTAACTTTATTTTAAAAAAAAAAAAAAATAAAAACCCCAAATAACTTTGTATTTTTTTAACAGAAAAATATTTTGTATTCTGTGTCGGAAAAAAAACATTTAAAGGATAAATAGAACCCAACAGTCGCCGTATGTCTGAGCTGTAGGCAGAAATATATAGGCATCTAGACATAATTTGTGCTCACGGTTTAAAGCTCAAAGTCATTTTCATCTGACGTACCAGGCAGCTCAAACACAGAGATCGATTTTTATTAATGGCACCATTTCTATTGATCATTTCCCGATGTTGGTTTTTAGCGGGGCACGTGTCAGTCTGAAGGGACAGACACATCCATAAAAAAAATTACCTGTATCTTTTAAACGGATTGCTGCTATTACTATAGAATTACGTGTAACGAATGAATATATTTCTAGGTGTTTAAACACTTAACCGGGAGTAAAAAATTAGTTTTATAATTTGAGCACAGAAGAGAAAAAGAGATGAGGAGACGAGGAAAACGGGTAAACATGCAAAATGAACATCTTGGTTAAATCCAATCGAAATATCAGTGACTAATACAGCTCATCAAAATAAAAAAAGCCTCATCAATATCCTCTATTGGATCCAGCCATATAGTTCCAGACAATACCATTACCTATTTCCTCTGCTGGGGAAATTGTAAACATTGAAACACACAAACCTGTGTCAGAAAATGAGAGTGTGTGACTCACCACACAGATCCCGGGCTTTGGAAAATTAAGAAGACTTGTATGGTTGAGTATTGAATTTGCGGTGGGCTATCATTGTGTCAGAATAATGACTACAACCTTTCAGACTCAGGCAGAGCTGGAGAAGAAAGAACTAAGACAAGGTATTTATCTAGATTTATGTTCTAACGTGAACTGCTGAGTGGTGAGTATGTAAAACTTGAATGGCTTCTCTATTCACCACACCAAGGTTGTTTGTATTGTTTTGTGTGTCGCCTATTGTACAAAAAAGTATTTCTCTATGCTATATCAGGAATAAAGTGCTATAAACATAACAATCTCATTGTAGAACATGAAAATGGAGTAGTGCATCGCAATGACATGACTGCATATTACCTCCTACGGCCATATTCTTGAGCAAGTTTCCTCCGTAAAGTACCTGGGTGTTACCATTCAAAGAGAGGTCCGATGGGATGAACATATTAACAATGTATGTAACCAAGCAAACAAGACCCTAGGGTTCTTAAGGCGAAATCTAAAGATTGGCAACTCCTGTGTGAAAGAAAGAGCATATAAAGCCTTTATCCGTCCGATTTTAGATTATGCATCTTCAGTCTGGGACCCATTTACCCAGAAGAGCATTGACAGGTTGGAGGCGGTCCAGCGACGAGCAGCACGCTTTGTCCTAAACCGCTACAGGAATACCTCAAGTGTTGGCAGCATGCTAGAAACACTAGGCTGGTCACCATTGGAGAAACGACGACGACAATCCAGGCTCTCCATGATGTACAAGATAAATAATGGGCTGGTCCACTGTTCCAGTATTAAACAGAAACTCGTACCTCTCCCCCATAGACAGCGACGAGGCCATGACAGGCAATTCAGGCTCATACCAGCAAGAAGCCAGTATAGGAGCTGCTCATTCCTGCCCAAGACAATCAGGGACTGGAACAATCTTTCAAAAGGAACGGTTGAGGCGACAACACTAGACACATTTGTGTCTATTGCCTCAAGCCTTCAAACCCCCAGTGCATGATTCCCTCACAAAGTGGCACTGGAAATCTGTGAAATTTCCTCATCAACACCAGGAACAGAAACATTGCAAATCCCATCTACATGCATAGGAGCCAAAATGATCAATAAATTGATCGTGGGCCCTTAAGATATAGAAGAAGAAGAAAGAAGCTTGGTGTTTAGGTCCTTTATTAATCAAAGACCACAGGTCAAAACAGAAGTTCTGGCATAAGGTTCTGACTCGTGGGGTTTATGTCATTTGCTTTCTTGCCCCCAGAGGTTTGGGTCAAACTATTGGGTCAGTAAACTATGGAAATTGTTTAGGTATTTTAGAGCTACTGAGTGAATTGAACCTTTTTTGGAAGATTATCTCAAACTGTATGGAAATGCTGGAAAAGGTAACACATCGAATCTGTCGACACATATTTGAAAAAAAAAATTATTGATCTAATGGGACAACATGTCCTTTATGCTATTCTGGAAGAAATTAAAGAGTCAAAGTATTCTTCAATAAGTTATGATTCCACTTCACACACTGATCAACTGACTTTTACTTTCCAGCACATTCGAGGATGTAAGTCTGTGGAACGTTTTATCAAGTAAATGTCAATATTTTCCATTGGAGAAAAGGATCTAAAAGACATTGTTGTGTATCAAAGGATCTAGCAGACAATTTTTTGGATTTCCTGAATGAGAAAGAAATTCCGCCTTCAATTTGCCGTGGTCAATCGTATGACAAAGCTTAAAATTTATATGTCTGGAAGCTACACTGGATTGCAAGCACAAGTTTGCCGCGGTTGTCCCTTGTGCTGGACACAGCCTGAACTTAGTGGGCTTAAAAGCAGCAGAGTGTAGTCTGCAAGTTGGGAAATACTTTGACTTTGTTCAGCGCCTTTATATCCTTTTATCAGCTTCCATACATCGATGGAATGTTCTGGTATCTTCCTTAGAAAAATCTCTCGTTGTCGTAAAGCATCTGTCTGACACCATATGGTCGGCTTATTTTGATGCCGTAAACGTTTCGGAAAAAATACAAGATGCTCTGGACTCTGCATCAGCTGACACTGGACTCTGTATCAGCTGACACTGGACTCTGCATCAGCTGACACTGGACTCTGTATCAGATGACACTGGACTCTGTATCAGCTGACACTGGACTCTGTATCAGATGACACTGGACTCTGTATCAGCTGAAACTGGACTCTGTATCAGCTGACACTGGACTCTGTATCAGCTGACACTGGACTCTGTATCAACTAACACTGATCAGGGAAAAAAACGAGGAGTGAGGCAGAACGACTAAGTAATAAAATGGAGAATGATAATTTCTCATCTTTTGAGAAGCCTTATAATGTATTTCTGACAATACTTTAAAAAGAATACTGCACAGAAATGAATTTTTTTGGGGTAATAATAAGTTGAATTAAGCTATTTTTAACTTTATTGAATGTTTATTCTTATTTTACAATTTTATTTCTCTTGGTGAGTTGGGTTGGGAGAAGAAAATTGCTTGCGCCCCCCCCCCCCCACTGTTTGAAACAGAAATGAATTTTTTTGGGGTAAAAATAAGTTGAATTAAGCTATTTTTAACTTTATTGAATGTTTATTCTTATTTTACAATTTTATTTCTCTTGGTGAGTTGGGTTGGGAGAAGAAAATTGCTTGCGCCCCCCCCCCCCCACTGTTTGAGCGTGGGGCGAGTGCCCCACTTCGCCCCCCTTCTAATGAACTTGATGTGTTGTGTTGCTGCGGGCCCCAACGCATTGCTGATATTAGTTTGATATTAGTCCAGACTTAATCTAAATTTTGTAGAAATTAATTTGTAATTCACGAGTTAGATAGTTTGCTACACCTCGTACAAAGCAGAAAGTTATTGATGTCATATTCCTTATTTAACGTATGTATACTGAACTTCTATTTGTAAACACTGTCAAATTCTTATGATATATAAATGACATTCAATTCGATTTTAGAATAAAGAAATCCTCTGTAAATAGATTATTTAATAGAGAAATAGGACAGTGTGAAAAAGTCTTCGAAATATAATTACGCAGTGAACATAAGATCAAGCTTTTCAGTTGTAGCTTGATTCCTAGTGGCGTACATTGACTAAATGTCACCAAGGATTGCGCACCCCGAGCACACATCTGTTATATAATGTTGGTAAAAAAAACTAATACAATTTGCTTCAAGCTAGATGTTCCCATGCGTCTTGATTTAAATCCTGCAAATTATAGACAGTCTGATATGTTGTAATTTCAATGACGAGAAAATGTTCAACCTCATAATGTTTTTAATTAAGAATGTATAGGTTAGAACGTCCTCATGACTTACATGAGCAGAGGCTCCAATGAAATATTTGGGGAATGAGGATTGGGTCATTCCAAACGATGGTAGAATGGAGATTGTATAGTCAGCCAAGAAGGGCAGCTACTCTTGGGGAAAAGTTAAAAGGAAAATACAGTGGAACCTCTCATTACGAGCACCTCTCATAACGAGTAATTCGCATAACGAGCAAAAAAAATGTGTTCGTGTCTTATTAATATAAAAAAAATGTGAAGAAGCTGCTCCCTTAACGAGCGACATTTCGCATAACGAGTTACACAGAAAGTCCTTTTTCCCGAAATTTATTAATTTTGTGAGCCGTGACTTTGGCACCTATGCATTAGTCTGTGTTTAACACTCGGTCTGTTTTCGTGTGTGATCACCAGTTTTTAACAAATTTGTATTCAGACAGTATTCGTAAATTTTGTTTATGTGCAAAGTGTAATAACCTGTGCTAAAATGTCTTCGAAGAAAAAACCACAAGAAGACATTCATAAAAGAGAAAAAATAACTGTTGAAATGAAACGTAAAATCATTGAAAAGCGAGAACAAGGTGTGAGCGTTGCTAATCTAGGGCGCACATACAATCTGTCGATATCTGAGATCTTCACTATTCTTAAGATCAGAAACAAGATATATTTATGAGATGGATGCTTCAAAGGGATTGTCAAGAATGTCTACAAAATGGTTACGTATTCTTGATAATGTTGAGAGGTTGCTTCTAATATGGATAAACGAGAAGCTATTACAATAGGGGTCGCTATTAACGAAACCATTATTTGTGAGAAGGCCAAACTTATTTTCGCTGACTTCGTTAAGAAAACACAAGGATCATCTACTGCCGAAAAAGAACTACAATTCAAGGGAAGTCATGGATGGTTCGAGATGTTTAAGAGAAGAACCGGCAACTAGCGTTGTGAGGCAGGGTGAAGCAGCAAGCTCTGACACGAAAGCGGCAAAGAACTTCATCAGTTACTTCAAGAAGCTCATATATCTTGGGGGTTACCTGCCGCAACAAGTTTTTAATTGTGAGAGACGGGGCTCCTCTGGAACAAAATGCCAAAGACAACCTACATAACAGCAGAGGTGAATGAATTACCAGGCCACAAGCCAATAAAAGATTGCCTCACGCTGCTCTTTTGTGTCAATGCAAGCTGCGATTTGAAAATTTAACCGCTGCTTGTTTACCATTCAAAAACTCCACCAGCCTTTAAGAAATGTAATGTCCAGAAGAACAGACTAAATGTGATGTGGAGATCCAACAAGAAGGCCTGGGTGACACTTGACATTTTCACTGATTGGATCAATGAAGTGTTTGATCGTTCCGTAAAAAATATATTTGCTTGAGATGAATCTTCCTCTCCATGTCATGCTTGTCATGGACAATGTGCCCGCCCATCCTCCAAGCCTACAAGCTGATATTTATGAAAAATTTAATTTCATCAATACCCAGTTTCTGCCTCCCAACACCAATACTTACTCCAGCCTATGGATCAACAGGTTATTTCTAACTTAAAAAAACTCTACACTGAAACACTCCTCGAGCGTTGTTTTGAAGGTACCGAATAGACAAATCTCACTCTTAGAGAGTTTTGTAAAAATTATTTTTAAATCGTTGCTTGCCTAAAGATGATTGACAAGGCTTGGGAAGGAGTTCCAAAGAGGACCCTCATTTCTGCTTGGAAAAAAGTTGGCCAGAGAGTGTTTTTGAAAGTGATTTTGAAACAGTACCTGTGGAGTCTACAGTTAACAAGATTGTGTCATTGGCCAATAGCATGGGACTCGAGGTGGACATCAAAGATATAGAAGAGCTTGTGAAAGAGCATAGACCACTGAAGAAATAATGGAGTTGCATCGCGTTTCACAGCAAGACATTATGGAGGAGAGCTCATTAATATAGGAAAAAGTAGCAGAGCAACAATCTTCTAGCGCAATAAGAGATATGCTGAAAGCATGCAAAATATTGCATCGTACATTGAGAAGCATCAACCTAATAAGGAGGTAGCTATTCGTGCTACAAATTTATCCAATGATAATTCTGTGACACATTTTCGTCAAATTTTGAAGCGTCCATAAAAAGAAATGTCTTCAGACAGTTTTCTAGTTAAAAAGGATTAATTATCTATATATATATAAATGAATGTTTGTATGTCTGTATGTCTGTATGTCTCGTATGCGCTCCTACGCCATTCTTGCGATTGCAACAAAACTTTAGTCAGTTGTTTTCCACATAACCGGTCATTTAACTGAGTCATTACTATCCTTATCAAATGTTTCATTTCCAGCCGTTAGCCATTAATTGTTTTTTTTTCTAATATAAGCAATGTAAAAAATAATTTCCATATGCGCTCCTACGCCATTTATCAGATTCCGATAAAACTTTAGTGACATGTTGCACGCATGTCCATAAAGGTTTATAAAGTATTACAACCGTTTTAAAGTATTCAGTTTTGAGCCAGGGGCCCTATATTCATTTTTCCTTATATGAGCTATATAAATATATTTTCAAACCGTATGCGCTTCTACACCATTAAAGCGATTGCTACAAAACTTGGTGAGTTGTTGTCCATGTGCTAGAGCATTTTACTGTGTTATTTAAACACTTTTAAAAATATTCCGTTTTCGGCCGTTGACCCAAATTCATATTTTTTTCTTATATGAGCATTGTAAAAAATAATTTCCGTATGCGCCCTACGCCATTTATCCGATTGCAAAGTAACTTTGGTGAGATGTTGGGAGCAAGGCCGCAAAGGTTTCTAAATTATTACAATTTTTCAAAATATTCCGATTTGAGCCAGGAGCCCTATTTAAGTTTTTTTCTAATACGAGCTATATAAATACATTTTCAAACCGTATGCGCTCCTGCACCATCCATGCGATTGCAACACAACTTTGAAGAAATGTTATCCATAATCATACCCATTTTACTCATTCATTACAACATTTTTAAAATATTCCATTTTCGACTGTTGACCCAAATTCATTTTTTTTTTCTTATATGAGCTTTGTAAAAAATAATTTCCGTATGCGCTCCTATACCACTCTTCAGAATGCGATACAAATTTATTGAGATGTTTTGCTATCGCCCACAAAGGTTCTTAAATTGCTACAACCGTTAAAAATATTCAGTCTTGAGCCAGGGGACCTATGTTTGTTTGTACAAAATGAGCTGTATAAATATAATTTCAAACCGTATGCGCTCCTACATCATTCAAGTGCTTGAGATAAAACTGAGGTGAGTTGTTGTCCATAAGCCAGACCATTTTTCTAAGCCATTATAACCCTTCTAAAATATTCCGTTTTTTTGGTAATTGGCCCCAAATTCGTGTTTTTTTCCTTATATTTAGGAGCTTTAAAAAAAATTAATTCCGTATGCGCTCCTCTACATTATTAGACTGTGATAAAATTTTAGAGAGATGTTGTGCGCACGCCCGCAAAGGTTTCTTAAATGATTACAACCATTTTAAAATGCTCCGTTTTTTAACCAGGGGTCCTAATGTTCGTTGTTTCTATATAAGCTATAAAACTATAATTTCAAACAGAGCTAATGCATGGATGGATAGCTTTTTAATCAAATACAAATAGTGATACTAAATTGAGTGTGTGACATTTTAAGTAGGTTTCTAAAGTAATACAACAATTCTACAATTTCCATTTGTGGCGACTGGCCCTAAATTCGTTTTCCACACTTCTATTATCTATATAATTATCGTATGCATTTCTATACCATTCAATCGATTGTGATAAAACTGGGTCAAGTGAAATGCGCACTACCGCAAATGTTTCTAAATTAGAAAAAACATTTTACAATATTCCGTTTGGGCCAGTGACCCTAATTTCATATTTTCTTCTAAGAGCTTTATAACTATAATTTCAAACAGAGCTATTGCATGTGTGGATGGAGCTGAATACGCCAGCAAATTTGTCAAATTTAGTACATCCATTGTACAATATTCCAATTAGGGCTGGGACCCTAAATTCGTTTTATTTTCTTAAATGAGCTTGATCAATATAATTTAAAACGGAGCTATCAACACAACCGTCCTTGAACAAATTACACATTTGTAGTAAAGCAGAGAAAACACGTTTTTGCATTTTTAGTGTAGAGAGTATTTTTGTTATGTGTATAAATAAGCTTAAATTTTGTGACGTATTTTAGAATCGGAAATGACATCGAAATCGTGTTTTTTTTTCAACTAAGAGTATTTCTTGAATAGAGTCTTATAATTTCAGAGTTGTTTTGTGTTATGTAAATACATTTTACATGAATCGATGGTTTCTCAAGTAATTAAATGGTAATTTAACTATGGTAATTTTTTTACCGCTGGAATTTACGATTTATAAATTAATGTGAAACTATACAACTGGAAATCTCCTGCCAACAATGAACGTACCTATTGTGCGAGGTTTTCATGTAAAAAGATGGGAGATCCTAACGTGTGAAAATTATGAGCGTTAGGAATATTGTAAATTAATTGAATCATATACAAACAGCGATATTTCATTTTGTTTGTGACCTAACAAGTTGTGTTAATTGGGAAATACCATTGCTAACAACAGATGTCACAAAGCAATAATTTCGCTGTCAAATCAATTATTCCACCCAAACAAAAATGTGTGGGTCTATCTAAACCTCAAGCACGAAAGGAAAAGTAGTCCCGATCTTTCGAAACTGTTGAGCAACGGAAAGCAAGACTAGAATCCACTCGAGTACGCAATGCTCAATACCGTTCACCTGAAACAGTCGAGCAATAGTAACCAAGACTCAAAACCGGCCGAGTAAGCAATGCTGAAACCCGTTTGTTTGAATCATTCGAGCAGCGAGAAACAAGACTGGATTCCGATAAAGTACGCACTGCTCGATCCAGACGAACACTGCACGCTGAATTAAACCTTAGTACATTCCATTACGATGCTAATTATGATTACAGTCTTAATCCAAGTGTGGTTTATTTGAAAAATAAATCAATTATGCGTGTATTGCAGTGCCCTCAAATTTAAAAATGGAACACCGGGAATTTGCTGCGCGGATGGGAAAATGAAATAGCCAGAATTACATTCACCATCGGAACCATTATCAACGTTGGTATCAGGTGACAATAGCCAATCGAAACATTTCTAGGCAAATATACGCTAGTGCAATTCATGTTTCCAAATGACATCGTTCGGTGCAACAAATATCGTGCGCGAGAATTACATGCCAACATTTAAAGTATATTGCAAGGCCAAATTTACCATCGTGTAGGATCTCTGATGCTAAAGTCGAACACAGATCAAAAATGTCTTCAAATGATTTCATGAGGAATACTGATGAACAAATCGATCAACGTTGTCATATAAATATGGGTACTAAACGATAAATCGTCGCTGCAATGCAAACGTTATTCTTGCAACACAACGAATTAATTCAAATTTTCAGAATTACACTTGAAAAGATGCCGAATGATGACTACAAAGTCATAGTTAGAGCAGACAAAACACCTGTCGGCCAACACGAAAGACAATACAATGCACCAACAATTGATGAAGTGGCAATCGTTATAGTTGGCGAAGAATTTAACTCTAGTGATATCATTCTTCATCGCAGAAGTGGTGATGTTCAGCGAGTCTCAGAAACTCATCGCTCATACGATGGATTGCAATGTCCTATTTTATTTTGGAAAGGAGAAGATGAATATCATTTTGACATCAAATTGAGAAGTTCGAATAAGGAAGTCAGTGCCATGAAATACTATTGATATCGATTGATGATTCGTGAGTTGGGAATGACCTCTCGGAATCGATCTACAAACAAACTTTTCGCTCGTGATTTGCAACGAGAAACGCACTTTGATATCGAAGAATTAGGTACGGTACATTTGTTCATATGAATCTTCCGAAATGGGTTCCATTGAAGTTACTATTTAAATGGAAAATTTAAACTAGGTGATGTACTTTTGCCATTCACTCCAATGATTCCAACAGATATGCCATTTGAATTCAAACGCCTACAATTTCCGATGCGACACGCGTCTACAATGACTATCTACAAAGCTCAGGAACAATCGCTACAAGTTTGCGGACTAAATTTGGAAAACCCATGCTTAGCCCATGGTCAGATGTATGTGACCTGCTCTCGCGACGGAAAATCTTCTGATTTATTCGTGTATATACCAGATGGAAAAACAAGAAAAACTTTGAGTATTTAAAAGCTCTTGAAGAAACATAATTAACATGCAAACACTTTCTTTCTTTGAGTGGCATTACAACGCATGCGGGTACTCGCTAGTATGTCATAAATTCATATTTTTATTTACGTTTTTGTTTCAAATTTAAATTGTACTCCAAGTTGTTACACGCCTTAACAATTCATAAGTAATTTTCTTTGAATAAATGTTAATATTTTTTTTTAAATTAGTATTTTTTTCAGCATGGAACGCATTATCGTATTTTACATTGATTTGTATGGGAAAATGTGTTTCGTTTAGCGAGTGTTTCGCTTAACGAGTAAGATTTTTGTACGAATTATGCTCGTTATGAGGTTCCACTGTATTAACTGGTTCTGATGGATTTATTAGCTATTTTTCAAATTATTCTACATTTAAATTATGTAACTATGGAAAATATTTTAGCGTTTACAGGTGTATGACGTTTCCTTTGTTAATTACTTCACCATGGCACACACCAATCCCAGTTCTTGATGAATTCATACAATAAAGATTAGGGTCTGATGGATAAAATGTTTGTCTCGTTCATTGGATACGGAATTTTTATTTTTGAACTGTAGCGCACGCGCGAGCGAAAAACTCAAAAATAATACTGATGGGTGTTTTCGTTCTGATGAAGGCTTTTACCGAAACAAATTACATTTGATACTTGTTTTATCATAAATCTTGAGATTTATTTGTTTTATTTACACGAATTCTTTGTTAATCTAAACATTTCCGAAACTTTTCAGTGATCAACTTTAAAAAAAGAAAACATCCGCAGTCTTGATTTGATATCTGATTCACGTCTCTGAAATCTATAAAATAGTTCTGACTGTGTATAGACCTCTTCGACCTACACATAAGTCGCAAACTCATGTGTCAGAGATCTCGTGTTTTTGTATTGGAAGTGTCACGCTTGAACTATGCTACAAGTCTACAGCCACGTCTGCCAAATATTTACAAATACGAAAGCTTGTTATTTTCAGCAGTTTAGCGTTAGCATGACTTACTGTTCAATATTAAAATTATCAGATCAATAAATCTGAGTGAAAATCAATCAAAACGTCATATGAACTCCATTATCAAGAGTATTTATATACATATTAATTACTGATGCCGTATGTTACGCTATTCATATGTATGGATGTTACATTTTGTTAAATATTCGTATTACTAATTTTATGATTTTAATTTAAGTCAAGTTATTTTTACCTGTAAATTTGTCTATTTGTTCACTGAGCATGATTATTTCATTTATGTCTTGAATAATCAGACTATGTTCTATCCAAAAGGATGCAAAAGAATTGTTTGTGGGGTATACAACCCAGATGTTCCGAAAAATTTTGTTCCTAAGGGATTTCCCAAAGATTATTGCACCCATGCTATCTATTATTCCGCTGGCATTGTAGGAAATAACTTGACAAATATGTACAGCTATGAATTGAGCACAGGCAGACACAAAGGCTTGTAAGTACGCAATAACTACTCTTTTCTTTGTAGTATCATATTATATACTGATATGCCTGATGCCCGGAACGTGTACATCATTACGTTAGATCATTCTGAAAATCGTTAAGGAACTTTATATTATAAATGGCTATAGATTTACACATTAATAATATGTGACTTGACATTATAGGCTTTGATCACAAATTGGTAGTATGTTTTGGTCAGACTACGCCGAACCCTTGGTGTGTGCTTTTGTTTAGACTTCGCCGAACCCTGGGTGTGTGCTTTTGGTTAGACTACGCCGAACCCTGGGTGTGTGCTTTTGGTTAGACTACGCCGAACCCTGGGTGTGTGCTTTTGTTAGACTACGCTAAAATCTGGGTGTGTGCTTTTGGTTAGACTACGCCGAACCCTGGGTGTGTGCTTTTATGGTAGTATGTTTTGGTCAGACTACGCCGAACCCTTGGTGTGTGCTTTTGTTTAGACTTCGCCTAACCCTGGGTGTGTGCTTTTGGTTAGCCTACGCCGAACCCTGGGTGTGTGCTTTTGGTTAGACTACGCCGAACCCTGGGTGTGTGCTTTTGTTAGACTACGCTAAACTCTGGGTGTGTGCTTTTGGTTAGACTACGCCGAACCCTGGGTCTGTGCTTTTGGTCAGACTACGCCGAATCCTGGGTGTGTGTTTTTGGTTAGACTACGCTGAACCCTTGGTGTGTGCTTTTGGTCAGACTACGCCGAATCCTGGGTGTGTGCTTTTGGTTAGACTACGCTGAACCCTGGGTGTATGCTTTTGGTCAGACTACTCCAAATCCTGACTGTATGCTTTTTTGTCAGACTAAGCCGAACCCTGAGTGTATGCTTTTGGTCAAAACTTAGTTTCGTCTGAAATAATCAAAGTATGAAATTGTCCATTTGCGAAAGTTTCGGTGTACGCATTTGTCAGTCTGCGCTATTTTCCGTGTGCGCTAATGTTGGTGTGCGCATTTTTCCTGTGCGCAATAATGGCTTTGTTGAGCTTTATGTTTGCGTTTATCGTGTGCGCATTTATCTTGTGCACGTATTTCTTGTCAGCCACCGTATGCATTTGTCTTGTGCTCGTATTTCTGGTCATCCACCGTATGCATTTATCTTGTGGGTGTATTTCTGGTCATCCACCGTATGCTTTTGTCTTTTGCGCCTATTTCTGGTCATCCACCATTTGCTTTTGGTCCAATATTAGTTTTGTCCCTTGATTATAAATAGAAAAAAATATAAAAAAATTTGTTACAAAATTAAAGAGAAAATAAAATAATTTTGTTATGTAAAGAAAAGCTTCATGGTTACTAATATCCATAGGTTTATTTTTCTATATACAAAATGCTGGTGATGTAACTTTGATAAGGGGTGGGAGGGGGGATTGCTGAATCTATGTCACGGGGTGTAAACCCTTCCTCAGAAACTTTTTGATCAATTCAAAAGCAAAGTCTAACGTGAATTTTGCCATTGAAAGATCAACAGAAAAGTTTCTTGGATATTAAAGTGTCTCTTATGATATTTGTGTTGTAATTTGTATTTCAACTTTTAATTTGTTTTAACTACGCCCATGTCATTAACAAACAAAACTGAAAATCCTTCTGTTTCAACAACACACAGTACGCCAGATGAAAAGTGGCATCATACAAATGTAGTGACATAAGTGTAAACAGTGAACAAAAATGAACCGAATTCGTTATACATATGGAACAAAAAATGTACTGACATCATTATACATATGGAACAAAAATGAACCGAAATCATTAAAAATCTTGAAAAAAATGTACTGACATCAATGTACATATTGAAAACAAATGTATTGACATGATTATACATTGTGAACACAAATTTTCCGACATCATTATACATATTGAACACACATTTACTTACATCATTATACTTATGTGGCAAAAATGTACTTACTTCATTATACATAGTGAGCACAAATGTTTTTTAACTTTTTTTTATATATTTTAATTTAAAAAATGTAATTAAAATCATTATACGTATTGAACAAAAATTGTATGTATTAAAAAAACATGCAATGACATCATTATACATATGAAACAAACAAGTAATGACATCATTCTACATATTAAACACAAATGTTCTGACATCATTATACACATTGAACAAAAAAATTAAAAAGTAAATAAGGAAACAATGCTAAATATTTGCATTTATTAAAACTTTAACTATTCCACTATTTTACTAGAATGTATGCAGTTTTGTCTATTGGCTCTACATAACATTTACAGCTATTTAAACGTGTCACTTTTAAACAGCAGTTCTGCATGAATGGTACAATTATATCGAAAATAAATAAAAAATCAATGAACAAGGGGCACTAACCTAAGTTACGCTACTGAAATGAACATATGGGGGGGGGGGGGGGGTGGCCATTGTAAAACTCTTCTATTAACCTTAACAAAAATTGATATTCCTAATAAAAAAAAAAAAATTTAAAAGAACAATATGTACAAAATGAAATAAAGGGGGGGGGGGGGGGAGGTTGGCCATTGTAAAACTCTTCTATCTACCTTAACAAATATTGATATTCCTAATTAACAAAAAAAGATTTAAAAGCACAATATGTACAAAATGTAATAAATGATATAGATTTGAAAACAAGATAACATTTTTTTTTTTTTAAATACTGTTTTTCAACTTCCTATTTGATACTAACTGTCACTACTACATTTCTCAAAATCACAATCTAGTTATGAGTTATAATAATAGAGGCTTAGTGGATCAAGTGATAGTGACTATACTTTATTAATAACTTAACACACGATCACAATAATAATAATAGTTATTAACTGAACTTGAAGTACAAGTAAATATTCATTCTCAACATACTGATCCGAAAACAATTTGAATATAGCTTCTCGGTAAACTTCTTGGGAATTACTCCACTTCATAAAGATATCACTATGACCAAATCGTCTGACATAAACTTAACTGTCACCATTTCTTATTTCCGTCCTCTGATTGTTTAGTTTTTACTAAGTCCCAATACTCTAAAAATTCATAAGTAATAACTCTCACATTACTTAACTTTTTCAACTCCCTTGTATTCATTATCTCATATCTGAGACACTAATCTAAAGTTTTTTATTTTTAAATTTATGATTGGAAATTGTAAGTCCAAATATTTCATTTATCCTGAATTTGATATTTAAATGATAACAATGGTTTTGAAACTAGGAATTCTTCTTATATTTGAGGTGCCCACGATCAATTTGTTGATCATTCTGGCTCCTGGTTTAAACTCAGAGTTTGCCTTCTCTTAGACAGGTTGCCGTCCAAGGCTAGCGGGTCCCATCCACCCGGGTTGCTTGGGAATGGCTTTGGTGGGGATTGAACTCCAGACCACCAGCTATTTCGTTTGAGACAGTTTAGACCGCTCGGCCACCCAGCTACCTTTATGTGCATTCCAAATTTATTTATACAAAATTAATCTCATCCACTCCAAACATTACACAAAAAGACACGTTTATACACAAGAAAGCGATTTACTAGTCTATTAGAAATGTATGAAAGGAAGTGTTTTTTTTTTAAATTCTTCATATTAACTTCGCTTTTGTTTGTTGATAGTCGGCTGGCAAAATCTTCGGACGGCTAACTTACTAACTTCCCGTCAAGTCAGTGGCGTAGCAAAGGGGGTGCGGGGGTGCAGACAGAAACCGGGTGACACCATCCCAGGGGGTGACACCAATGAAAAAAATGCATATTTACAGAACACAAACTGCTCGGTCTAATTGCATTTCATTATAGGGAAGCGAATCACACTGACATTTTTCACACATATAACCAGTCCAAATGCATGCTTTATTTAGAATTCAAGGATGATGCGTTAAAATTGAGGTGAACCTATAAATTGTCAGAAAAACACCATGTTTATCACGATGTAACGCCGATTTATGTGTTAGGTAACTTTCGTGATAGTGTGACGATATGATGCTAACCTGAAAATGACAATGTTTTTAATCACCCTCCTAATTAGATCCCCCTTCTCCTCCTTTTGAGGTCAGGGCGAGTTATTTTCCCTGATTACCGTCACCCCACTTGGAAAGCCACTGAATTGATTGTTATGTTCACCAGTGAACTGAATTACACATTAGAAATGCCATCCCCCCCCCACGCCAAGCATCATTTTCGTCTCGTATCGGGTGAGCGATTATTGAAACGATTGGATTCAGAGATCACATGGTAGTGATTATGTAATACGCAATGAGGATAAAATCACTAAAAAGGACGTTACAAAAGTTAGAAGTTTCCTTTTCAAGATCGACTCTTAAGTTAGCACAGTCAACTTAGAGTGCCTTAAATCCGGCTTTCCAAAACCTACCTGGTTGCTAGATCGCCGTAATGCTGCATTACTGTCAACGGCGCCTTAGCAGCTGGATTGAGAAATCTTTTCCTGAGGCCTGAGTCCACGAACCCCGCCCAGGAAACCCTCCGAAAGACAAATCCATCGCCCGCATGGATATGATCGCTTGGTGATGGGACTTTACTCCCCTGAGAAGTTATCACACATTCCCACCACAGCGTACTGGGGAAGAGGTTTCCCAGAAGGTACAGTTGTGATTGATATCATCCACTTTCCTGAACGTCCTAAGAAGCACTGAGCCCTGAGAAGCCACGTTGTAAGGAATCGCTGGGGCCACTTCCACGTCGAAGTGAAACTACCTTTGATTGATCAAGCCAGATCATCAGAACGATTGACTGATAGTTAAGTTTGAAAGGTCTGATCGCAAACGATTGTAAAACAAAGCAAACCGATTGTTATTAAGAGATCTAGGCTATACTGGAGGCCATTGTACATAATAACATATAAACCTAGCTTTATTTATATCAAAGTGTACATCTTTCACTATCATGCCATATATTAACACACCTGTAAATAAATAAGTTCATTGGATTTACTGAATGATGTTATGAAGTATTTGATGGCTAGGGTATAAATCACTAAAGAACATTAATTACTTTAGTTCATGAAATCGATATAACAAAATAGCCATGGACACAAGCAGCTGTGATTCTCATCAGAGAGTTGTTCCAACACCCCTTAATACAAAAGTCATTTCACTACAGATCGGACGCTAAATAATGAAAATTTCTGAAAAATAAAGTTTTCCATTGATATCAAATAAGATGCTGTCAGGAGATTATAAGTAGCCTACCTGAATCGAATCGGTAAAAATTAAAAAAACATTTTACAAAAGACTTTTTACTTATTAATGGATTTTAAAAAAAAATTATATTTTGCTCACTTTTCTGATATCTTTATTAATTAATTTAAATTTTTAAAAAGTATTTTTGAAATCAAATATATATCAATATACTAGAAATACTTTTTGCTCTCTTCATCAATAGACCTGCCCCTTAACATTTGAGGACGATTGTCATACAGCAATGTCTTTTACTTACTGTTAGCTAATTCCCTATGGCATGGGCCTGGGGAGCCGCTCAACAAACTCTTGCCAGAGGAGTATAGGTATAGGTATTGGTCTAGGTCAAGGAGGAACACTTATAGTTATAGCCAGGTAGTGGTACAAGTGTATGAAGTGCACGTTTAGTTATAGGTAGTGGAACAGGTGTAGGAAGAGCACGTTTAGTTATATGTAGTGGTACAGGTGTATGAAGTGCACGTTTAGTTATAGGTAGTGGTACAGGTGTAGGAAGAGAACGTTTAGTTATAGGTAGTGGTACATGTGTAGGAAGAGAACGTTTAGTTATAGGTAGTGGTACAGGTGTATGAAGTGCACGTTTAGTAATAGGTAGTGGAACAGGTGTAGGAAGAGCACGTTTAGTTATAGGTAGTGGTACATGTGTAGGAAGAGAACGTTTAGTTATAGGTAGTGGTACAGGTGTAGGAAGAGCACATTTAGTTACAAGTAGTGGTACAGGTGTAGGAAGAGAACGTTTAGTTATAGGTAGTGGTACAGGTGTATGAAGTGCACGTTTAGTTATAGGTAGTGGAACAGGTGTAGGAAGAGCACGTTTAGTTATAGGTAGTGGTACAGGTGTATGAAGTGCACGTTTATTTATAGGTAGTGGTACAGGTGTAGGAAGAGCACGTTTAGTTATAGGTAGTTGTACAGGTGTATGAAGTGCACGTTTAGTAATAGGTAGTGGTACAGGTGTAGGAAGAGCACGTTTAGTTACAGGTAGTGGTACAGGTGTAGGAAAAGCACGTTCAGTTACAGGTAGTGGTACAAGAGTAGGAAAGCACGTTTAGTTACAGGTAGTTGTACAGGTGTAGGAAGAGGACGTTTAGTTATAGGTAGTGGTACAGGTGTAGGAAGAGCAAGTTTAGTTATAGGTAGTCATACAGGTGTATGATGTGCACGTTTTAGTTATAGGTAGTGGTACAGATGTATGAAGAGCACGTTTAGTTATAGGTAGTGGTACAGGTGTATGAAGTGCACGTTTAGTTATAGGTAGTGGTACAGGTGTATGAAGAGAACGTTTAGTTATAGGTAGTGGTACAGGTGTAGGAAGAGAACGTTTAGTTATAGGTAGTGGAACATGTGTAGGAAGAGAACGTTTAGTTATAGGTAGTGGTACAGGTGTGTGAAGTGCACGTTTAGTTATAGGTAGTGGAACAGGTGTAGAAAGAGCACGTTTAGTTATAGGTAGTGGTACAGGTGTAGGAAGAGAACGTTTAGTTATAGGTAGTGGTACAGGTGTAGGAAGAGCACGTTTAGTTATAGGTAGTGGAACAGGTGTAGGAAGAGAACGTTTAGTTATAGGTAGTGTTACAGGTGAAGGAAGAGAATGTTTAGTTATAGGTAGTGGTTACAGGTGTAGGAAGAGAACGTTTAGTTATAGGTAGTGGTACAGGTGCAGGAAGAGCACGTTTAGTTATAGGTAATGGTACAGGTGTAGGAAGAGAACGTTTAGTTATTGGTAGTGGTACAGGTGTATGAAGTGCACGTTTAGTTATAGGTAGTGGAACAGGTGTAGGAAGAGCACGTTTAGTTATAGGTAGTGGTACAGGTGTATGAAGTGCACGTTTATTTATAGGTAGTGGTACAGGTGTAGGAAGAGCACGTTTAGTTATAGGTAGTGGTACAGGTGTATGAAGTGCACGTTTAGTTATAGGTAGTGGAACAGGTGTAGGAAGAGCACGTTTAGTTATAGGTAGTGGTACAGGTGTATGAAGTGCACGTTTATTTATAGGTAGTGGTACAGGTGTATGAAGTGCACGTTTAGTTATAGGTAGTGGTACAGGTGTAGGAAGAGCACGTTTAGTTATAGGTAGTTGTACAGGTGTATGAAGTGCACGTTTAGTAATAGGTAGTGGTACAGGTGTAGGAAGACCACGTTTAGTTACAAGTAGTGGTACAGGTGTATGAAGTGCACGTTTAGTTATAGGTAGTGGTACAGGTGTAGGAATAGCACGTTTAGTTACATGTAGTGGTACAGGTGTATGAAGAGCACGTTTAGTTACAGGTGGTCGTACAGGTGTATGAAGAGCACGTTTAGTTATAGGTAGTGGTACAGGTGTATGAATAGAACATTTAGTTATAGGTTGTGGTACAGGTGTATGAAGTGCACTTTAGTTATAGGTAGTGGTACATGTGTATGAAGATAAGGTTTAGTTATAGGTAGTGGTACAGGTGTAGGAAGAGAACGTTTAGTTATAGGTAGTGGTACAGGTGTATGAAGAGCACGTTTAGTTATAGGTAGTGGTACAGGTGTAGGGAGAGCACGTTTAGTTATAGGTAGTGGTACAGGTGTATGAATAGCACATTTAGTTATAGGTAGTGGTACAGGTGTAGGAAGAGCTCGTTTAGTTATAGGTAGTTGTACAGGTGTAGGAAGAGCACGTTTAGTTATAGGTAGTGGTACAGGTGTAGGAAGAACACTTTTAGTTATAGGTAGTGGTACAGGTGTAGGAAGAGCACGTTTGGTTATAGATAGTGGTACCTGTGTATGAAGAGCACTGTTAGTTATAGGTAGTGGTACAGGTGTATGAAGAGCACGTTTAGTTACAGGTAGTGGTACAGGTGTATGAAGAGCACGTTTAGTTATAGTTAGTTGTACAGGTGTATGAAGAGCACGTTTAGTTATAGGTAGTGGTACCAGTGTATGAAGAGAACATTAAGTTATAGGTTGTGGTACAGGTGTAGGAAGAGCAAGGTTTAGTTATAGGTAGTGGTACAGTTGTATGAATAGAACGTTTAGTTATAGGTAGTGGTACAGGTGTATGAAGAGCACGTTTAGTTATAGTAGTGGTACAGGTGTAGGAAGAGCACGTTTAGTTATAGGTAGTGGTACAGGAATAGGAAGAGCCCGTTTCGTTATAGGTAGTGGTACAGGTTTAGGAAGAGCACGTTTAGTTACAGGTAGTTGTAAATGTTTAGGAAAAGCACGTTTAGTTACAGGTAGTGGTACAAGTGTAGGAAAGCACGTTTAGTTACAGGTAGTTGTACAGGTGTAGGAAGAGCAGGTTTAGTTATAGGTAGTGGTAGAGGTGTAGGAAGAGCACGTTTGGTTATAGATAGTGGTACCTGTGTATGAAGAGCACGGTTAGTTATAGGTAGTTTTACAGGTGTATGAAGAGAACGTTTAGTTACAGGTAGTGTTACAGGTGTATGAAGAGCACGTTTAGTTATAGGTAGTGGTACAGGTGTATGAAGAGCACGTTTAGTTTTGGTAGTGGTACCAGTGTATGAAGAGAACATTTAGTTATAGGTTGTGGTACAGGTGTAGGAAGAGCAAGGTTTAGTTATAGATAGTGGTACTGGTGTATGAATAGAACGTTTAGTTATAGATAGTGGTACAGGTGTATGAAGAGCACGTTTAGTTATAGTAGTAGTACAGGTGTAGGAAGAGCACGTTTAGTTATAGGTAGTGGTACAGGTGTAGGAAGAGCACGTTTCGTTATAGGTAGTGGTACAGGATTAGGAAGAGCACGTTTAGTTACAGGTAGTGGTAAATGTGTAGCTAAAGCACGTTTAGTTACAGGTAGTGGTACAAGTGTAGGAAAGCACGTTTAGTTACATAAGTTGTACAGGTTTCGTTATAGGTAGTGGTACAGGATTAGGAAGAGCACGTTTAGTTACAGGTAGTGGTAAATGTGTAGCTAAAGCACGTTTAGTTACAGGTAGTGGTACAGGTGTATGAAGAGCACGTTTAGTTATAGTAGTAGTACAGGTGTAGGAAGAGCACGTTTAGTTATAGGTAGTGGTACAGGTGTAAGAAGAGCACGTTTAGTTATAGGTAGTGGTACAGGTATATGAAATGCACGTTTAGTTACAGGCAGTGGTACAGGTGTATGAAGAGCAAGTTTAGTTATAGGTAGTGGTACAGGTGTATGAAGAGCACGTTTAGTAATAGGTAGTGGTACATGTGTAGGAACAGCACGTTTAGTTATAGGTAGTGGTACAGGTGTAGGAAGAACACGTTTAGTTATAGGTAGTGGTACAGGTGTAGGAAGAGCACGTTTAGTTAAATGTAGTGGTACCGGTATATGAAATGCACGTTTAGTTACAGGCAGTGGTACAGGTGTATGAAGAGCAAGTTTAGTTATAGGTAGTGGTACAGGTGTATGAAGAGCACGTTTAGTAATAGGTAGTGGTACATGTGTAGGAACAGATCGTTTAGTTATAGGTAGTGGTACAGGTGTAGGAAGAACACGTTTAGTTATAGGTAGAGGTACAGGTGTAGGAAGAGCACGTTTAGTTACAGGTAGTGGTAAAGGTGAATGAAGTGCACGTTTAGTTATAGGTAGTGGTACAGGTGTATGAAGAGCTCGTTTAGTTATAGGTAGTGGTAGAGGTGTATGAATAGAACGTTTAGTTATTAGGTAGTGCTACAGGTGTATGAAGAGAAAGTTTAGTTATAGGTAGTGGTACAGGTGTAGGAAGAGCACGTTTAATTATAGGTATTTGTACAGGTGTAGGAAGAGCAGGTTTAGTTATAGGTAGTGGTACAGGTGTAGGAAGAGCACGTTTAGTTACAAGTAGAGGTAAAGGTGTATGAAGTGCACGTTTAGTTATAGGTAGTGGTAAAGGTGAATGAAGTGCACGTTTAGTTATAGGTAGTGGTACAGGTGTATGAAGAGCTCGTTTAGTTATAGGTAGTGGTACAGGTGTGTGAAGAGAACGTTTAGTTATTAGGTAGTGGTACTGGTGTATGAAGAGAAAGTTTAGTTATAGGTAGTGGTACAGGTGTAGGAAGAGCACGTTTAATTATAGGTATTTGTACAGGTGTAGGAAGAGCAGGTTTAGTTATAGGTATTTTTACAGTTGTAGGAAGAGCACGATTAGTTACAAGTAGTGGTACAGGTGAATGAAGTGCACGTTTAGTTATAGGTAGTGTTACAGGTGTAGGAAGAGCACGTTTAGTTACAGGTAGTGGTACAGGTGTATGAAGAGCACGTTTAGTTACAAGTAGTGATACAGGTGTATGAAGAGCACGTTTCGTTATAGGTAGTGGTACAGGTGTATGAATAGAACATTTAGTTATAGGTTGTGGTACAGCTGTATGAAGTGCACTTTAGTTATAGGTAGTGGTACTGGTGTATGAAGAGAAGGTTTAGTTATAGGTAGTGGTACAGGTGTAGGAAGAGCACGTTTAGTTATAGGTAGTGGTACAGGTGTATGAAGAGCACGTTTAGTTATAGGTAGTGGTACAGGTTTAGGAAGAGCACGTTTAAGTACAGGTAGTTGTACAGGTGTATGAAGAGCACGTTTAGTTATAGGTAGTGGTACAGGTGTAGGAAGAGCTCGTTTAGTTATAGGTAGTTGTACAGGTGTAGGAAGAGCACGTTTAGTTATAGGTAGTGGTACAGGTGTAGGAAGAGCTCGTTTAGTTATAGGTAGTGGTACAGGTGTAGTAAAAGCACTTTTAGTTACAGGTAGTTGTACAGGTGTAGGAAGAGCACGTTTGGTTATAGATAGTGGTACCTGTGTATGAAGAGCACGTTTAGTTATAGGTAGTGGTACAGGTGTATGAAGAGCACGTTTATTTATAGGTAGTGGTACAGGTGTATGAAGTGCACGTTTAGTTATAGATAGTGGTAATGGTGTATGAATAGAACATTTAGTTATAGGTTGTGGTACAGGTGTATGAAGTGCACTTTAGTTATAAGTAGTGGTACTGGTGTATGAAGACCTCGTTTAGTTATAGGTAGTGGTACAGGTGTAGGAAGAGCACGATTAGTTATAGGTAGTGGTACAGGTGTATGAAGAGCACGTTTAGTTATAGGTAGTGGTACAGGTGTAGGAAAAGCACGTTTAGTTACAGGTAGTGGTACAGGTGTATGAATAGCACATTTAGTTATAGGTAGTGGTACAGTTGTAGGAAGAGCTCGTTTAGTTATAGGTAGTTGTACAGGTGTAGGAAGAGCACGTTTAGCTATAGGTAGTGGTACAGGTTTAGGAAGAACACGTTTAGTTATAGGTAGTGGTACAGGTGTAGTAAGAGCACATTTAGTTATAGGTTGTGGTACAGGTGTAGGAAGAGCACGTTTGGTTATAGATAGTGTTACCTGTGTATGAAGAGCACGGTTAGTTATAGGTAGTTGTACAGGTGTATGAAGAGCACGTTTAGTTACAGGTAGTGGTACAGGTGTATGAAGAGCACGTTTAGTTATAGGTAGTGGTACAGGTGTATGAAGAGCACGTTTAGTTATAGGTAGTGGTACCAGTGTATGAAGAGAACATTTATTTATAGGTTGTGGTACAGGTGTAGGAAGAGCAAGGTTTAGTTATAGTTAGTGGTACAGGTGTAGGAAGAGCACGTTTAGTTACAAGTAGTGGTACAGGTGTATGAAGTGCACGTTTAGTTATAGGTAGTGGTACAGGTGTAGGAATAGCAAGTTTAGTTACAAGTAGTGGTAAAGGTGTATGAAGAGCACGTATAGTTACAATTAGTGGTACAGGTGTATGAAGAGCACGTTAAGTTATAAGTAGTGGTACAGGTGTATGAATAGAACATTTAGTTATAGGTTGTGGTACAGGTGTCTGAAGTGCACTTTAGTTATAGGTAGTGGTACTGGTGTATGAAGAGCACGTTTAGTTATAGGTAGTGGTACAGGTGTAGGAAAAGCACGTTTAGTTACAGGTAGTTGTACAGGTGTATGAAGAGCACGTTTAGTTATAGGTAGTGGTACAGGTGTAGGAAGAGCTCGTTTAGTTATAGGTAGTTGTACAGGTGTAGGAAGAGCACGTTTAGTTATAGGTAGTGGTACAGGTGTAGGAAGAGCACGTTTGGTTATAGATATTGGTACCTGTGTATGAAGAGCACGTTTAGTTATAGGTAGTGGTACAGGTGTATGAAGAGCACGTTTATTTATAGGTAGTGGTACAGGTGTATGAAGTGCACGTTTAGTTATAGATAGTGGTACAGGTGTATGAATAGAACATTTAGTTATAGGTTGTGGTACAGGTGTATGAAGTGCACTTTAGTTATAAGTATTGGTACTGGTGTATGAAGAGAAGGTTTAGTTATAGGTAGTGGTGCACGTGTAGGAAGAGCACGATTAGTTATAGGTAGTGGTACAGGTGTATGAAGAGCACGTTTAGTTATAGGTAGTGGTACAGGTGTAGGAAGAGCACGTTTAGTTACAGGTAGTTGTAAAGGTGTATGAAGAGCACGTTTAGTTATAGGTAATGGTACAGGTGTATAAAGAGCTGATTTAGTTATAGGTAGTTGTACAGGTGTAGGAAGAGCACGTTTAGTTATAGGTAGTGGTACAGGTGAGGGAAGAGCTCGTTTAGTTAAAGGTAGTGGTACAGGTGTAGTAAGAGCACTTTTAGTTACAGGTAGTGGTACAGGTGTAGGAAGAGCACGTTTGGTTATAGATAGTGGTACCTGTGTATGAAGAGCACGGTTAGTTATAGGTAGTGGTACAGGTGTATTAAGAGCACGTTTAGTTATAGGTAGTGGTACAGGTGTATGAAGTGCACGTTTAGTTATAGATAGTGGTACCATTGTATGAAAAGCACGGTTAGTTTCAAATAGTGGTACAGGTGTATGAAGAGAACGTTTAGTTATAGGTAGTGGTACAGGTGTATGAAGAGCACGTTTATTTACAGATAGTGGTACCAGTGTATGAAGAGAACGTTTAGTTATAGGTAGAGGTACAGGTGTATCAAGAGCAAGTTTAGTTATAGGTAGTGGTACAGGTGTAGGACGAGCACGTTTAGTTATAGGAAGTGGTACAGGTGTATGAAGAGCACGTTTAGTTATAGGAAGTGGTACAGGTGTAGGAAGAGCACGTTTAGTTATAGGTAGTGGTACAGGTGTAGGAATAGCACGTTTAGTTATAAGATGTGGAACAGGTGTATGAAGAGCACGTTTAGTTATAGGAAGTGGTACAGGTGTATGAAGAGCATGTTTAGATATATGAAGTTGTACAATGTGTAGGAAGAGCACGTTTAGTTATAGGTAGTGGTACAGGTGTAGGAATAGCACGTTTAGTTATAGGAAGTGGCACAGGTGTATGAAGAGCACGTTTAGTTATAAGTAGTGGTACAGGTGTATGAAGAGCACGTTTAGTTATAGGTAGTGGTACAGGTGTATGAAGAGCATGTTTAGTTATAGTAAGTGTAACAGGTGTATGAAGAGCACGTTTAGTTATAGGTAGTGGTACAGGTGTATGAAGAGCACGTTTAGTTATAAGTAGTGGTACAGGTGTATGAAGAGCACGTTTAGTTATAGGTAGTGGTACCGGTGTATGAAAAGCACGTTTAGTTATAGGAAGTGGTACAGGTGTATGAAGAGCACGTTTAGTTATAGGTAGTGGTACAGGTGTATGAAGAGCACGTTTAGTTATAGGTAGTGGTACAGGTGTATGAAGAGCACGTTTAGTTATAGGTAGTGGTACAGGTGTATGAAGAGCACGTTTAGTTATAGGTAGTGGTACAGGTGTATGAAGAGCACGTTTAGTTATAGGTAGTGGTACAGGTGTATGAAGAGCACGTTTAGTTATAGGTAGTGGTACAGGTGTATGAAGAGCACGTTTAGTTATAGGTAGTGGTACAGGTGTATGAAGAGCACGTTTAGTTATAGGTAGTGGTACAGGTGTATGAAGAGCACGTTTAGTTATAGGTAGTGGTACAGGTGTATGAAGAGCACGTTTAGTTATAGGTAGTGGTACAGGTGTATGAAGAGCACGTTTAGTTATAGGTAGTGGTACAGGTGTATGAAGAGCACGTTTAGTTATAGGTAGTGGTACAGGTGTATGAAGAGCACGTTTAGTTATAGGTAGTGGTACAGGTGTATGAAGAGCACGTTTAGTTATAGGTAGTGGTACAGGTGTATGAAGAGCACGTTTAGTTATAGGTAGTGGTACAGATGTAGGAAGAGCACGTTTAGTTATAGGTAGTGGTACCGGTGTATGAAAAGCACGTTTAGTTATAGGTAGTGGTACAGGTGTATGAAGAGCACGTTTAGTTATAGGAAGTGGTACAGGTGTATGCAGAGCACGTTTAGTTACAGATAGTGGTACAGGTGTATGAAGAGCACGTTTAGTTATAGGTAGTGGTACAGGTGTATGAAGAGCACGTTTAGTTATAGGTAGTGGTACAGGTGTAGGAAGAGCACGTTTAGTTATAGCTAGTTGTACAGGTGTAGGAAGAGCACGTTTAGTTACAGGTAGTGGTACAGGTGTAGGAAGAGAACGTTTAGTTATAGGTAGTGGTACAGGTGTAGTAAGAGCACGTTTAGTTACAGGTAGTGGTACAGGTGTAGTAAGATCACGTTTGGTCAAATAGTGGTACCTGTGCATGAAGAGCACGTTTAGTTACAGGTAGTGGAACAGGTGTATGAAGAGAACGTTTAGTTATAGGTAGTGGTACAGGTGTATGAAGAGCATGTTTAGTTACAGATAGTGGTACCAGTGTATGAAGAGAACATTTAGTTATAGGTAGTGATACAGGTGTATTTAGAGCACGTTTAGTTATAGGTAGTGGTACAAGTGTAGGAAGAGCACGTTTAGTTATAGGAAGTGGTACAGGTGTAGGAAGAGCACTTTTAGTTATAGGTAGTTGTACAGGTGTATCAAGCGCACGTTTAGTTATAGGTAGTGGTACAAGTGTAGGAAGAGCACGTTTAGTTATAGGAAGTGGTACAGGTGTATGAAGAGCACGTTTAGTTATAGGTAGTGGTACAGGTGTATGAAGAGCATGTTTAGTTACAGATAGTGGTACCAGTGTATGAAGAGAACATTTAGTTATAGGTAGTGATACAGGTGTATCAAGAGCACGTTTAGTTATAGGTAGTGGTACAAGTGTAGGAAGAGCACGTTTAGTTATAGGAAGTGGTACAGGTGTAGGAAGAGCACGTTTAGTTATAGGTAGTGGTACAGGTGTATCAAGAGCACGTTTAGTTATAGGTAGTGGTACAAGTGTAGGAAGAGCACGTTTAGTTATAGGAAGTGGTACAGGTGTATGAAGAGCACGTTTAGTTATAGGAAGTGGTACAGGTGTAGGAAGAACACGTTTAGTTATAGGTTGTGGTAGAGGAGAAAAGGTAAGCATAGGAAGAGGTGTAGATATTGTAACGATCATATGGAGTGATGATGTTACTTTTAGTTAATTACTTATATTATGTATTCACCATCACAGACGTCCATGATTATCTAACGAAGCACGATGAACAAAAGTTAGTGTTTGCATCACAACATTTATTTACTGATTAAAGTACACCATATGAAATAATACCTCCATAAATCAGAGCAAATATAATTGTCATAACTTCTTCCACTTTACATTTGTTGAATCAACATTAAGAGTTCTGTATTATACAAAAGTAATTATAGCAAGTGCTAATCAAGAAATATACTCAAACCGCCATTCATCCGTGTTCTTCACTGTCTATCCAATAACTGCCCAACTTCCTGTCCTTTCTACTTAACAAAACAATACCTTCTTTTGAAACAACATTAAGATCTAAATATTTGATATGTGACAGATATAATTGACAGAGAGAGAGATATATACACGCGCACAACTAGACGCAGAGAAATGGGTATGCCTTATTCTAACGTTTAAATCATTCGGTTACCCAGCCTAGCGAGTTCAATTGCATAATATTTCATGTCTATCGTAAAGATTGTTATATTTTTTAACCAAGTTGAACTTTGAACCGACCGTGGCAAACGTGACACACATGACTAATTTTAGAACACGCGTCGCAACTGTACAAAATCCAAACAATCATTTCAATTAGCTTTGACACTCGCTATATATCCCTGTGGATATAACGTAATGACTTCTCTTTGTATTTATCTTCCTTTAACAAGCATTAAAAATACCTTAACCATGACAAGTTCCATACGGTAACGTTTTAGTTATGTCAGAGTTAGCCCTCTACAACAATCACTCAAACATATAAAGGAGTTATTTTTTAAATGGTATCCCAATACAATCGTTTTAAATAATTAAAATAGGACTTAATTCTACATCTATTAATTCAAGTCAAAACTATTGCGTTGTCTCAGTGGCGTCGCTTGGAGGTGCGGAAAGCCTGGATGACACCATCTCAGGGTTGACACTAAATTGAAATATTGCATATTTACAGAGAAAAAACTTTTCGGTCTAATCAAATCTCATAAAAGAATAACCAAAAGTCCTCAAACGCTAGAGTTTCCCCCTTGAGGTGGGATGGCCAATTGACATCTGACCCAAAAGCACAGGCGTGGATACTCAATCAGCCGTTCCAGTCGGTCTTTGGTGACGTTAGGAGTACTCTGAGACTGAGTTCCTTCTGAAGACCAAAAGGATGAACTGAGCCTACCCTATCATGGGAGATATCCAGATATCAGGACAAATTGTGTTTGCCCTCCTCAATACCATTAACCCTTACAAAGCATGTGGTCCTGACAACATCAAACCACGAGTGCTCAAAGAATTAGCCAAAGAAATCGCTCCTGCACTCGGTCTAATCGAATTTCATAAAAGGAAAACCAATCAAATGTAAACTTCCCACACAGGTAACCAGTCCACATGCATGCTTTATTAAAAGTTCAAGGTTGATGCCTCATAACTGGGATAACCCTATAGTTAGGTCAGAAAAAAACCCGTTCTCAACAGGATTGAAGTGTTTGTTAACTTTCGTAAGTGACAGGGAGTTATGTCAATATAAATTCTGAGAAATAAAGCTTTCCATTGATACCAAATACGATGTGGTCGAGCGATTCTCAGTACATAAATCGAATCTGTAAAAATTCAACACTTTACAAAATTACCATTTACCCATTTAAAGAGTTAACAAAATAATATTTTTAGAAGATTTTAATAACTTTTGTTTGAATGTAAAAAAAAAGTTTTTTGAATCAAAATATATTAAAATAAGAAATACTCAAATCTAAATGTTATCGCCGATTAGCCACTCACACTTTGACACCCCCCTTTAACCGTTAGCCCTTTTGAAATACAGCACAAGGTCATTTACGTGCTGTCTGTGATTTCACGTTTATCTGCTACATTTTCACATCGGCTAATCTACTTACGGAAGTTAATCTTATACAGCAGTATCTGCAAACCAAAGGCTTTAATCTTGACAAAGTGGTGACCAACCTAGAGATTTTAAGATTGTTTCTCCAAGAGAAGGGCGGTAACTTGGTGGAACATGCTATTGAAAAGGCACTTTTAAAATAAGACAAATTATGGAATTTCTGTAAAAAGAAGATTAAGGTTTAAGAAGAGAATTGCAGGAGAACAGTTTATTGATGTCGGACTCTCAACGTCTAAAGAAAACAAAATGGAGATGGAGATGCTGGAATGTATTGATAGCTTTTCTTCTGAAACACCCCAGATCAGATCAATTACGATAAAGAAATTAACATATATTTGTGGGCTGTTCAACCAACCAGGCTACTATCAGCTCATAAAGAAGAGTTATTGATGTCCATTCCAAAATTAAACTCTTTCTATGTTGAATTATCAGAAGATGAAATTTTTTAAAAAATATTAAGGCTTAGAAGACACCTAAAGGCAGCTGATATTGAATTTCCTAAAGTCATGGACTGGTCAGCATATGATGTCATTAAAATCATATCTAAATGAGACTTTTTAGTATCTCTTCGAGTACTCTCACTAAGCCTTCAATTGTTTGTTATGAACTGTGTGTTTGTGGCTGCATGTAATGAGAGCTTTTCAAAATAAAGCTTATCAAGAACTAGTTTCGAACCACCATGGGACACTAAAGGCTTCTAAATCTGGCTCTAATATCAATTGAAAAAGATACGGCGATGAATGATATTGATTTTGCTTGGGTGATTGACATATTTGTAGCTTTGAAAACCAGAAAAGAAACATATTAATAACGTAAATTTAATGTAAAAATAACGATAACGTAACACTGTTACAGTTCTTAAATAAATCTACTTCCTGAACTTCAATTATTTTTTGTGTGTGTGTTTCATTTGATTGCTATACTGCGGACTTATTTTAACAAGGAGAACACTATCGTGGAAGTCTGTAAGAGAGATGACACAATGAATTTACTGCACCGAGTGACAACAAGCCTAGCTAAGCAATGCGTCAAGCTATCGAGCTGATATTTAGCACATAGACTCGTTGCCAATGACAACAAATACTATTAAATTTTCAACCACAATTCCAAACCTCAAACCCCAAAGGTCAGCGTTACTTTCTTTTCAAAGTAAACATGAAGAAAATCCCGATAACTGCTCCAAATGAGGTGTTAAAAAAAATATATCACAAGTGCGTTTGGTGCGTAATACTTCCTTTGTTTTTCTGAAATAGTTGGTGTAATAAATCTGTGGTGCAAAAGTAGGCGGGTCAAAAGAATGTAAATATATTTCAGGGGCGTGAAAACAATGTGCGGTTGAGAGCCTTGAGGGTGAGGGGGAGCACTAAGCTGATTCTTATAATTGCATTACGTGTATGCATGTTTTGTCAAATTTTCAGCCCTAACCCGCCATTGCTAAATATTAAATTTTATCCACTTTATAATAAGATACGGTACATCATAAATAAGATACGTTATAGATAAGATATATAATAGATATGATGCTTCATGGACAATATACATCTTAGACAAGGTACATCCTAAACAAGATATATGATAGACAAGATATATCTTAGACAAGATACATCTTAGACAAGGTACATCATCGACAAGATACATATTATAGATAAGTTACATCATAGATTAGTGACATTACTAACAAGATAATTATATCATTATTGCATCATAAATAAAATACGTAAAAATAAAATATTGATTAAACTCGTATAATTATTATATATCTTACTTCCGGACAAGGTATGCCAAAATGGCTGATCTCAAGAAGAGCAATAGAGATTTGAAAATTCTGCTTAATGTACCAGTACCATGGGTAGCACCCAAGCCTTTCGCTGCAATCGTGGCTATAGAAGACAGCCGAAAGGAATTTATCTCGAATGCCATAACTTACTTAAGAAAACATAAATTCGATGGCCTTCATATTGATTGGAGGTATCCAAATAAAGATGGAGTTACAGAGGAAAAAAAACATTTAACTGCTTTCCTGAAGGTATGGGTAAAATCTTTAATATATTATTTCTTTAAATACGATTGCCTCCAATGCCTGTTAGCACGCAAAATATAATTTGAGATAACTACGATGGATGAAATCTTTAAAAAAAATTTAACGCAACTTCGATCGATGTTTAATATTTTCTTTTCCTTACGGAAATGGAAATGGTCTCAATTTAAAAATGGCGTGATAAAAGTTAGGTTTAAAAGTAGCTTGGACATCAGATTATTAATGTAGAAATAAAAGCGTGCAGTGGTTTACCATGGGCCGGGGGGGGGGGTGGGGGGAGTGTGTATTAAAAATGTGGATTCTTAAATGTGCGTTGCTAATACTTGAGTTCACATTTTGTAAATTCACTAAAGTAAAAAGGAATTTCATGCAATGCTGTCGCCGAAAGTCTCAATTTAAAAATGGCGTGATAAAAGTTAGGTTTAAAAGTAGCTTGGACATCAGATTATTAATGTAGAAATAAAAGCGTGCAGTGGTTTACCATGGGCCGGGGGGGGGGGTGGGGTGAGTGTGTATTAAAAATGTGGATTCTTAAATGTGCGTTGCTAATACTTGAGTTCACATTTTGTAAATTCACTAAAGTAAAAAGGAATTTCATGCAATGCTGTCGCCGAAGTTTAGCAATTAATAACTGATTTAGTATTATTTCACAAGATTATTTTGTGTATTTTAAAGAATCTTTGGACTCTATCATTTAATGGTAGAATATGGGCTTTAGATTCTGTGAAAATTTGGGTACATACATTTTGAGAGAGAACATTTTTATAGTAAAAATACAACAATATTAAATTCACAATGTTGTTCACATTACATTTAGATAACGTCACTTTATTGAAATGTTTCTTTAACAAAACAACTATCCACATCTCCATCAATTGATATAACTGCACAGAACCACCATCAACTTATACATAAATTGATATACCTGCACAGAACCACAATCAACTCGTACATGAATTGATATACCTGCACAAAACCACCATCCACTTGTACATGAATTGATATACCTGCACAGAATGCAAATCCACGTATAAATAAAGTGGATATACCTGCACAGAACCACCCTCCACTTGTACAAAAACTGATGTACCTGCACAGAACCACCAACCACATGTACATGAATTTGATATACCTGCACATAACCACTGTCCACTTATACACCAATGTATTTACCTTCATTGAACATGGTGGATTTCGTCAAAATTACTTCAAATGTTATTTTAAACTGTAAATGTAGCAGTAAAAATATCGCTGCGTTATTTTAAGAATCCGTGCTTTTAAATTACGTTTCAAATTTTTAAAAAAAAATTACTAGTAAATTTATACTGATCATCAACTTAGCGATTGGTTTTCGACGCGCAATGGTTTTATTTTTATTTTCGATTTTTACAAATGATTTTGTATATTGTATATTGACAATGTATATTGTATGATTTTGCAGGAGGCGTCTGAGGCATTTAAAAAAAATTCAATAGAAACTGGAAGATCAAGACTCCTACTGAGCGTAATTGGTCACCCCTTTAAAGTTCACGTCTATGAGGTCTCCGAAATTGCAAGGTATTTTATGTTTCAGTATTGCCAAGTGATTGATAAACTTTCAAAAAGGGAAAAGGGAGGGGGGGGGGGTTAAAATGGACAGCTTTTATTTTGCACTCAAAGAATTATGTACTTAAGTTTAAATTTGTTGGATAGACGTTTAATTTAAATTGATTGTTGTTGTTTTAACACAATAGAAATGTTATTTCGTTATTGCAATTTTCCCCAAATTATCTTGATTCAGAAAAATAACTTGATATTCATTTCTGAGCCTTTTACTTAATAGCATTTTCAAAATATTAGAATAAAATTCTTTAACTTATTAAAAAGCGATTTATAAATGCAGACTTATAAATATTTTTTTGAAATATTTGATAAAAATAGGTATGTGGACATGATGAACATTGTAGACTTTATGTTCCATGGCCCCTGGGATACACACATAAGTCATCACAGTCCTCTATACGAAGACGACTATAGCGTGGTAAAGAAATAACGTCATATATTTTCACGTGTTTATTGAATACTCTAATTCCAAAAGGAAATGTAAACCACCATTGTTATTTCAAATATAAGATGTTTTCTGCTCATAATGCTTAAGATTTAAACTCAACACATAGTTAAAATAGTGCGTAATGCTTTAATGGTCTGGCTTAGGTGTTTTAAGATCAATTTCCAATCCCAAGTCCTTTTCACCATTTTCTTTAAGAATGATTACATGTTTGATTTACAAAAAAAAATATATTAATAAGTAATTTTAAAAAATAATTACAATCATCCAAAAAAATTAATATGAAAAAATATGTGTCCAGTTTCAGGGACGTCATTTGGGTAGGGCAGGGCGAACATTGCCCCCCCCCCNTGTGATTTTTTGCATGTATTATTTAAATTGCTATGTACTGTGACGCCTCCAGTAATAAGTAACTTAACAAGCCGACCAGGTTTTGGTTTTGCCCCCCCCCCCACTTTTGCAAAAACTTGAAATAATGCCACTGTTTAGCTGTACTGCGATATGTGTTTAGCAATTTGAAATTAAATGTGTTTGGCTGCATAACATCATGTGCTTAGCTGTATGACAATGTATATTGTATATATTCAACTGTGTTTAGCTTTATGACAATATAAATTGTATGTATTAAACTGTAAGTGTTAAGCTGTAATACAATGTACATTTTATGTGTTAACTGCAGTGTTTCGCTGTATGACAATGTATATTGTATGCATTAAACCGTAAGTGTTTAGATGTATGACTAATATACATTCTCTATGACATTATATAATTATACTATAGGTAGGGCAACGCAGTTATATATAATTGCGAAAATGCTGATTAGGGCTTCCTTCAAATACAGATATGAATGGCATTAGTAATAAAATAATAGAAATATCAGAACCTATTCGATTCGATCTCATAGAGCCAACAGTACATTTTTTTTTTACAAAATTATTCCTTAGCTCCAATTTTATTAAACATCGTTAGAGGCTTAAATGCAAAAAAAAACACAAACAAACGTATGTTTGTATTTTATAATTTGACACAAAATTGAGGAGTTTTCAATGACGCAACATCAGCACGTGTCAAAATTAGCGCGCAAAAGGGATTTTAATATCTGAAGGCACATACGGATTCTGCAATCATAATTAATAATGATCTCAAATAGAAATACTGAAATCGTATATAATACTGCTCTCATGCATATATAAATACAATTCTCATATGTAAAACCTGAACTCGTATATAATACTTTCTCATGTATATATAAATACAATACTAATATGTAAATACTGAACTCATATAAAATAATGTTCTCATGTATATATAAATACAATACTCATATGTAAATACTAAACTGATATATAATTCTGTTCACATGTATATATAAATACCATCCTCATAGACACATACTGAACTCGTATATAATACTGTTCTCATGTATTTACAAACGCATTCCAATATTATTTTAGGACAGTTCATTGCAAACTTGGAAGAACAATGGAATGCCTGCTGAGAAGTTAAATGTAGGTATAACTTTTATGGGCATATATGCTCATGTGGATAACAAAATGCAGCATTCTTACCGCATGAAAATTGTCAATGTTGAAAAGCCACTTTACACTTCAAAGTGCGCTGGATTGATATCATTCGGTGAGGTAAGCGTCTCATGAGATGGAATTTTTTTTCAAATAATTTTACAATGATTGGCTCTAAGATTAATAGTATAGAAAACAACACCAAAAAAATCTTCGTTTGATGCATTTGGCTTTTAAACGTTTTTCTGGTTTTTTTTGTGACGCTTATTTCATAAATAAATACACACATATTTCATTCTAAATTTTCATCGTTTTATAATATTTAAAAAAAAGAAAAAGTGCATGTTGGTTTAAATTTATCAAGGCAAGTTGTAATCTATTTTTAAGTTTCTAAAACGAGTTTTTTGGCGTTGTTTTTATGTCAAGAGAACGAGAAAGGAATATTAGCGTTTGTTGACTGGATGATACATGTTTATAAACTGATATATCAATAATTAATTGGATTTTATTTACTTTAATAAAAAAAAAAACAATTATTTAAACTGATAAAATCTGATTTAAACATCAATATTGATTTAAATCGAAACTAAATGAACGGTTTTGAACCTGGCTAACAAGTTTTTAAAAGGCAGTTTTCTTATCCCATTTAACCAAATCGCCATAGACATAATGATGTTTTTTGGTGTCTTAACCGCTTAAATGTCGTGATTGAGATTCTTCAGGTAAATAATTTCCCCTTCGTTGACGTTTATATTCTAGTTGTTGTGTGATGAAATTTGTAATTGTCTGTCTTAAAGTGGCTATACATGGAAATTTGGCAAAATTGAGTATTCACTTTATTTCATTCTGTTTAAACTGCTGTCTATGTTAGATCTGACTCAGTTATGACATGGTGAATTTAATTCATGTATTAAATAGCATTACCATAACGCTATGATCATAAAGATGTACTTTCATTTTGATCTGAGAAGTTTTCAGTTTTGATAACTTTGTTTTCATAACTAATAATTAGGGATGATCCTGGTACAATTTTTTGTTATTCGATCATGGTACTTTATAACAATACTTGACGTGTCTGAGTCCCGTACAGATATTAAACCTATCATAAACAGTCAGTATCATCAGGCTTTAGGTATCATCAGTAGTTGAGTCAGTTGTTCGTCAGTCGGGGATCGACCATGACCACTTTAATCATCCGAGTTTGTGCTGGTTCTGTCTGTGTGTGCGCAGATGGCTAATGAGGCCGATTCTGGCACGAAATTCTCTTGTACAGTAGGTGCAGAGTAATGAGGGGGCATCTCCGCAAGCAGAGTCAGACCGGGACTTCCTTGCATGTCTCTTGCGCTCTAAAGTCGCTTCATGTTGAATAGAGCTCTCGTGCAAAGTGGGATGCTATGAAGTTTGATCCTTTGCTTGTTGCTCCCACGAGGCTGGGTTTAATGTTGAACGCTTCTTCTTCTTCTATATCTTAAGGGCCCACGATCAATTTATTGATCATTTTGGCTCCTATGCATGTAGATGGGATTTGCAATGTTTCTGTTACTGGTGTTGATGAGGAAATCATACACTAGGGGTTTGAAGGCTTGAGGCAATAGTCTGTACTCTCAGGCAGTAGACTAATTATTATGATTTTTTTAAATTATAACTTTTATCCTCGCTTAATAAAGTTTGATCAATAGAAATATTAAAATAAAATATTGGAATGTTTTGTATTTATTCCAATTGCCTTAACATTGATAATGGTATTTTGCATAGTGAATAAAATAAAATAAATAATTTCTATTAAACTTATAGTATCAATTAAAAAAAAATTGAAATTAAATTAGTATAGTATGGTCCTTACAAATTGCCATTTTGGATACGTGCCTGTGGAGGCGTTTGAGGTGGATCGATCAATGACTCAAGGGTGCTGATTCAATTGTTATGTTCAATTTGATTTTAATTAATAATCTTCCTTTTTTAGTGTAACATGTTTTAAATAATTTAATTGATAATTGTTGTGGGTGATTTTTTTAATATTATAATTTAATTAGTATATAATAAGTTAATTTTCAGTAAATCTCTTGAAATATTGTACTACTAACGTGGATTAAAACACTTCGATAAAAAATTATTGATATTTATTTAAAAAATTTTCAGATCTGCAAATTGATAGTTGATCAAAATAAAGTGCATAGACATAAAAAAGAACGTGTGCCCTCTTACTTTAATGATGGCCTGTGGTTGGGCTATGATGACAGGATGAGTGTTGGAGAAAAGGTAGATTAAATGTTTTATGCTAGTACTGGCCAGTTATAAATCAATCTCGTTGAGAGTCTGTTTGTCTCTTTGTGCAAAAAATGTCGGAATGCTAAGGCAATTTCGTAATTATCTCTATCAATGCTGACAACCCACATGTCAGTACTTTCAAAGCCCTGTGTGACGAACTGTCTGTAACAATACGTACAACTCATCTGTCAGTGTTTTATAGTCCTATGTGACCAACTTTTTGTAACAGTGCTGTTAGGGTCTCATATTTATTCCCCTGAAACCATCTTGCCATCACTACCAACTACTTTCGGATTCTCATAGCTGTTTTCGTTCCCTGAGACTTCAGATTCACTTTGCTGGCAAAAGTACCAACGTTCCTGATGACGAGTTATTCCCGTTTCAGATAATGAAAATCCAAATGGACACCACCATCAATGCAATCCAAAGCTTTAGACTTGTACATAAGGAGCACGGAACATGACGTCAAGAACCTCGCATCACCTCAACTCCGGAATTCTTATTTGTTTAAAAAAAATCACTTTTACTCCTTAAGCAACGCAGTTGTAAACATAGCGTCATTAAACCAGTTGACAAAGGTGGGTCATTGAACCAGGGACAAAGATTTGTACATCTAAGAGGCTAATATGCAACTGGAAGACAGCAAGTTCTACCAACCGAGAACCAACAATCCTATCCACAAACATAACGAAATGGTAAAAGAAACTACCAAAAAAATTATTGCAGAATCGGCACTCCCCAAATCAGCCTCTGCCTTAAACATCTTTGATAGTGACCTCGGTAAGCCATGCTTCTACATATTTCCCAAAATACACAAGTAAGGTAACCCTTGCAGACCCCTTGAATCAGCATGCTTTTGCCCCACTGAACATATCTCTGAATTTCTTGATGGAGATTTTAACCCATCGTATTATCACTGACAACTTACATTAAGGACACCAACCATGCTTTGAAACCTTCCAATCTATCATAATCCCTCCTGAAGAGAAAAAGGAACATCATCTATTTCTTCTTGATGTATGTTCTCTTTACATTTTCATTCCGCACACTGAGGGTCTCTTAGCTATAAAATCCTTCTCGGGACTAAATCCCACCGATCTATACCCACAAACACCCTACTCCGATTGGCTGAACTGGTCCTAACCCTCAATTCGTTTTAGTTTGATGGCCAATTTTTCGACCAAAATCAGCCGTGTTGCTATTGAAACTAAAATGAGACACAGCTATGCATGCTTGCTCATAGAGCATTTAAAACACGTGGTCGAAATCAGCTTTACTAGACGACTCCCTGAATTCTATAAAAGATACAAAGATGACGGTATAAGGGCTCCACTATAAAGAGGAGTGAATTGACCTTTTTATTAATTTTTAGGCTTCTTTCGCCGCTCCATTACATTCAAATCTCTTGTCCCTGAGACCTCAGTTAATTCTTTGGACATTACAGTCACTATTCACAAAAACAGCGTTCTCACCTTGGCCTAATTCAATCCTACAAACAGCCAGAGATATCTACTCTACTCTTAATAACACCCTAAATCATATAATGTAAAGAATATTCTTTTTTCTCAATTATTTCGCCTTCGTCGACTTTTTCGGTTGGAGGACGACTTTTGGGACAAAGCATTTGAGATGATAGACTATATAAGATGTAGGTCTAACCCGGAGAGAGTAATTTCATCAGCCCTTCCAATTGCTAAGAATATTACACATGCTGATGACTTCAGGCCATGCCTGAGCGACAATATTGACAGGAGCAATCTTATTATCACTTACCACCCTCACAATCTTCTAGCTAAACGTGTTTTTTCTTTAAAAAAACGTTATGTACTACTCGCAGACACAAACACACGGAATTCTTCTCTTCCTCACCTCTTATTGTTTTCAGACGGGATACAAATCTGAGAGACCTTGCACGCAGTCGCATCAACGCTGCCCCCTCCTAGTGTGGGACCAAGCCATGTGGTAGCAGTGGCTGTAACACTCACCCTTTTTTGTCCAGACTCAACACATACGTTTCCCTTAAGGCTGTTTTTAGATACGCGACGGTTTCCTTTGTTCTAGCCGTAATGTCATCTACGCCATTGGCTACACCCGCTGTCAGATGTCGTACATACGAGAGACTGTACGCCGACTCTCTGACAGGTATATCGCACACCTCTGTACCATTACTCAAGATAAAAAGCGCCCCGCCTCCAAAAACTTTAATAGTACTGACCGCAAAGGCAAGGTGGACTTTTTGATATGTTCGATCGTGGCTAGAAAAAACACACCAAGCCCGGTGAATTTGGAACATAATCTTTTCCTGACCTATGGCACACTAACACCACATTATAAGGACGTTCTGTGCCTTTTCACAGCTCTAACCTAGCTCCGCCCTTCACGTCTCACCTTTTCGCATTGGACTTACTTCCCCTCTTTTCTTTCCCTCTTCCCTATTTAATCTTTGACCCATTTACTTTCTGTCACAATTAGAGACTGACCGAAAATGATATTCTGATTTTGGCCAAAGCCGAAAATAGGCCGAAAGTTTAAAATGACTTTCGGCTGAAACCGAAAATAGGCCAAAAGTTTAAAAATGAATTTAGGCCAAAACCGAAAAAAAAACAAAGTTAAAAATGACTTTCGGCCGAAACCTAAAAAAGGCCGAAAGTTAAAAATGACTTTTGGCCGAAACCGAAAATGAAATATTTAGATATTTGAAATTCGTTCCCGCATACATTCTGCATACATCGAAAATGATGGGGGAAAGTATAAATATGTACATTCTTTTTAATTAAAAAAATGAAATAATCGTGAATATTAAAAAATAAACATGTAATATAACATCTTGTTCTTAAAGATCAGTTAGTTTGTTCATAAAGATCGCTTAGTTTGTTGTTAAAAATCGTTTATTTTGTTTTTTAAGATCGCATAGTTTGTTCTTAAGGATGACGTATTTTTTGTTTAAAGATCTTTTAGTTTGTTATTAAAGATCATTACTTTAAAAAAAAAGATCGCTAAGTTTTTTTCTTAAATACCGCTTAGTTTGTGTTATTAAAGATCGTTTAGTTTGTTCATAAAGATCGCTTAGTTTGTTGTTAAATATCTTTTATTTTGTTTTTAAGATTGCTTAAATTGTTCTTAAAGATCGCTTAGTTTTTGTTTAAAGATCTTTTCGTTTGTTATTAAAGATAATTTAGTTTGTTCAAAAAAGATACTTAAGTTTTTTCTTAAAGATCGCTTAGTTTGTGTTATTAAAAGATCTTCAGTTTGTTCATAAAGATCGCATAGTATGTTCTTAAAGATCATTGATTTTGTTCTTAAATATCGCTTAGTTTTTCTTAAAGATCATTCAGTTTTTTATGAAAGATCATTTAAGTTGTTTTTATAGATCATTTAGTTTGTTATTAAAAATCTTTAATTTTTTCTTAAATATCGCTTATTTTGTTGTTGAAGATCGCTTAGTTTTTTCATAATGATCACTAAGTTTGCTCTTATAGATATTTGATTTTTCCTTAAGATCGATTTGTTTGTTCTAAAAGATCTCTTAGTTTTTTCTTATAAATTATTTAGTTTACTATTAAAGATCATTTGTTTTGTTCTTTAAGATCATTTAGTTCGTTCTAAAAAAATCGCCTAGTTTGTTCTTTAAAATCGTTTTTTTTTTTAATAAAGTCGATTAGATTGTTATTTAAGATTGCTTAGTTTTTTTTTTCAAGATCGTTCAGTTTGTTCTTAAATGTCGCATAGTTTGTTGTTAAATATCGTTTAGCTTGTCCTCAAAGATCGCTTAATTTGTTCTTAAATATCGCTTTATTTGTTTTTAAAATTCACTTTCTTTGTTTTTAAAGATCGTTTAGTTTGTTCTTAAATGTCGATAAGTTTGTTGTTAAATATCGCTTTATCTGAGTATTAGATGATCGAAAACATCAGTCACTTGCGGCCGGATGGCTGAAAGTCTAAGTCAATTTCAGCTAAAACCGAAAAAAAACGAAAGTTAACTTGTCTCTTTCGGCCGAAACCAAAATTAAGCCGAAAGTTAACTTTTAGTTTCTGCCAAAACCGAAACTGGGCCGGAAGTGATAAAATGGCTACTTTCGGCACCGAAACTGAAGCCGGAGCCGAAGCCGAAATTCGGTCGGTCTCTAGTCACAATTCAACTGCTGCCATTTGGATACTACTTCTAATCTAAGTGCGATGTTTTAATTCTATTGTGTTTTTTTTTCTGTTTTGTTGGCTGACGAAGGCTTCCTGCTGAGACGTTCGTTGTTTTGTCGTGTTCCTTTTTTTCAGGTTTAACTTTACTTTTATTTACAAATTTCATATTGTAACTGTGTCAACAACTCAACTGTCAGTGCTTTCTTGCTCTATGTGACCAACTGTCTGTAACAATGACAACCCATCTATCAGTGCTTTCATAGTCCTATTATACCACATGTCTGTAACAACACTTACATCCCATCTGTTAGTACATTCATAGCCCTATGTTACCATGTATCTTTAACAAGGCTATCAATCCATCTGACAGTTCTTTCATAGCCTTATGTGACCAACTATCTGTAACAATGATGACAACCCATCTGTCAGTGATTTCATGGTCCTATGTTACAAACTGTCTGTAACAACGCTTACACCCCATCTGTCAGTATTTTCATAGCCCTATGACACCAAGATCTGTAACAAAGCTGACGACTCATCTGTCAGTACTTTCATGGTCTTAAATATACGTAAATACATGATTTCCCATTAAGAAAATACAGTATATTTTAATGCATTGAACATTAGATTATAATTATCTCATTGAGGGGCTTGCATATTGTGTGCTTTGGCGTACTTAAGCATTTACTTCACTGGTGGTTCTTTTATAAGTCCTTATTACCAACTTTATATAGAATATGTGTGTTTGAGGGAATCCTCTAAAGTCAAACTACGTCACAAAATTGGAGGATTCATTTTATGAATGTAACAATGTCTCAATCTGCTACATACGGAATTTAATCCACTATTTTAGTCCAGAGATAATTCCTATTTTTTAATAAATGTATTGAAGCCTTTAATTCATTATTAGAATATTATATGACACACAGAATAAGTTTGTTTATATTTTTTTTACTGATATAAGTTTATGGCACGGCAGTGTTTCAGTTTAAAATGGTGCATGAAACTAAACAGTCAAAAATCATTCATCGTTACAACGGTATTCATCAAAAGTTATGAATGATGATTTTAATTGCCCGTGTGTCTATAAAGAAATTAAATCTTTTTTTTAAAATATCAATGTTTTTTCATGTATCATTCTGGTATAATACTATCTACTATATACATAAGACAATGTGTCTGTTTATACAAGATATGTTTCTACATGTATTTATTGATATTTATGAAACTTTTGATACTTGAACTAAAGGGACTGTAGACGTGTTGTGATTATTTTATTGAATATTCCGTTCATAGTTTTAGGTCAAAAGCTTTATTTTTTTTCTTATATGGCCTACATAAATAAAATTACTAATAATGGCTAAATCTAGACAAAACTTTGAACAAATAAACTTGACAGTCGGTATTAAACCTGGACAGTTTTGAAATCATAACACTCAATAAGGACAGGGCCAACGACACCTTATTTCATTTACCTTACACTTATTTTTCTATCAGTCTCTACGAATTTCCTTGAATGTTATAAAATCGTAACCCGTATTTGAAGATATTTTAAAGGTTTCAGAAAGTTTCAACGAAATTTAGGAGGTTACACTATGTAATCTTAATAGCCAAGTTATACCAAAGCTATAAACATGTCTTAGTTTACAAAGCAACTTCTATTTAATTTCTGCATATTTTATAAAATTGGTAAATATGACTTTCTTGATGACTTTTAAAATATCAGTTGATTTCAGACTAAATATGTTACATCTTTCTGTTTCTCGGGCCCCAATGTTACTTTAAATAAAACGCTCCATATTTGATTTTTTTGTCATGCGATTTTAAAATTGCAATTTTTAATATAAATATGTTTGGTATGCAGTCTAAAATACTCACTGATGTATTCTATTAAAATATTAAGTTATTTTGGTGACGGGATCACAATGGTGAAAATATGTAATGCAGCAACATTGCAAAGTATGTGGCCTGCTGCAGTAGATTGCCCACTCCTGCTTAAAGGAATTGGCTTTATTTTATAAATTTGAAGAAAATAATTACAACATTTTTATAGAATAAAACTGATAGTGCTTTCATAGTAGTATGTGACCGTTTGTAACAATGATGCCAATCCATCTTTCAGTGCTTTCATAGTCCTAATACTAAAGATTTACTTGCCTTAAATTTACACACATAAAACTAATTTTTGATTTTCCAAATGAAGGCAACATATGCAATGGAAAACGGCCATGGTGTTTGGGTAGAAAATGTGCAATACGATGATCATAATGACACCGCATGTGACATGGGCAAGTATCCCTTGCTTAGGAGTGTTTTTTCTGGATGCAGTATCCAATCATAATGAGATATATTTTATTGCACGCCAAATTTTCTGAGACACACAAGTGTTCTCACTTTGTAATTTAAAAAAAAATAATTAAGTGAATAAAAAAATATTTAAGCAAAAGTTTGTACAGACTTCTTTTTTCGTGGTTAGCAAACTTTACTTTCGTTTTTTTTGACCCACTTTCCGTCAAACCATCGAGCTGAAATTAGGCACTTAGCATCGATTCCGATAATAACACATTCTATAAAACTGTCAGCTTCATTCAAAAACCCAAAAATCAGTTTTTCCTTTTTTTCAATGGGAAGGTGAACGAAATAAGATGCCACAGATTCATCTTGAACAAATGTGTTTGTGAGCCTTGTGGGGGAAAAGCACTAATGTTTGTTTTTTTTAAATTCTTTACAGGAATGCGTTAAAAACAAAAATTCTGCCCCAACACTTTGCTCAGTATTATGTTTGATATTTCTTAATTTTTTTTGTTAAAGCTATGCATATTTTATAGATTTCATTTAATCACGTGTTGTAATTTAAATATAAATATATGTGTCAATTGGATCGTAATATTTTAGGCAATAGATACAAATTTAGTTCCTTGTAAGCAACTATTATTCATCAATAAAAGAAATTAATATAAAATTAAAAATTCAATTATTTGATAAATCTTTCTGGCATTCTGGATATTGAAGATGATATCATTACGAAGTATTATCTACGCTAATGAAACGTGGGTATTTTAAGGAAATTTGCACGTTTTAAAAGAAAAACCATGAATATGTCATATTCTAATAATTTTAGGAAATTTCAATGAAAAATAAAGTTTTTCACTTTATAGCACATCCAGTGGTGTGAGAAAGTTAGAACCTGCTGATTTTTTCTTTTTATTTTGGGTCGAAATTTTCTTTCAAATACAGAGATTTTTTTTCATGGACGCTAAAAAAAAAGAAGCTAAGCCTGCCCCAGGCGTCACTAACACTAGCTTATTTAATAATAATAATTATAATAATATGTTTATTTGAAAATCACGCTTTATCCCGACACGTTCAAAGCGTGGTACGAAGTCAACCATATTAACAGGAAATGAAAAAATCTAAATTATACCAGGTTGAAATACAAAACGCAAAATAAAAAAACCTAAATACGAGCAAACCCATTTTAAGTATTTCATCCCTTGCAAACGTAAACAACACAGACTCATATTCATCTAGGAGACAAACGTGAGCTGGAAAAGATGGTCGACTACATAACCCCAGCAGGTTCTTGAAAAAAAGTTGTGTTTTCAAATTGGTTTTAAAGACTCCAGTGTCTAGCTGTTCTTTGAGCGCGACATGAAGTGTGTTCCGAATTGTTGGGCCAGCGAATGCAAAAGTGCGCCTTCCGTAAAGTCTCGTGGTATCGAAATTTTGACACTATTGAATGAGCGGAGTTGTCTAGTGGGTACATAAGTCGTCATGGGCGCTTTGAGATAGGACGTGCCAGGTCATGCAAGCAGCGGTAGCACAGATCAATGCGAACAGCATTATTCTGTATTTTTAAAAGAATTGTATCCAGAAGTGTAGCTGTAAGACCCACCAATAGTGCATTGCGGTAGTCCAAGAGTAATAGCACGAATGCAGACATCAGACTCTTTCTTGCATCAAACGTTAAGAAATGCCTGATATGAGTAATTCTGCGCAGTTCTAGAAAAATTGCCTTGCAAAACATGTTAATGTTATTTTTCATTTTTAGTGTTCAATTAATGTAGACACCCAGGTTTTGCACTTTTAAAGCAAAGTCAATCTCTATACATGAGAGAGTAAGGGATGGTCTGTTTTTTTTTTTACAGATTTTAGCTTTTGAGCGGTAGCAATGGGGATTAGCTCGGTCTTATCATCGTTCAATTTCAGCTTGTTTATTTTCATTCAATGCTTAACTGACTCCACTGTTTTCTATGCATGTAAGACGTAATCTCGAGCTCAAGACAAAAATTACATCTCCGAAGTGTAATTATTTGATTTTAATGATAAGTTCTCAACACCTTCTTGTTTTTGTACAATTTCGTTAAACAAAATATTTTATGGTAGCCATCTTGTTGCTAGCCGTAAGTATAGTTAATGATAATCCTTGTCTTGTGAATTGACTTTGATTGGGTAGTGTGAATGGACTCTCGTATACGTTTCACACGTGTTGGTGTCTGGTGGTCTTAAGTTGTATGAAAGTCACACATTAAGGGACATAATCAACATACGCAGGTTTCAAGGGGAAAAGCAATGATGTCAGGCTTTGAGAGTTTTGAGAAAAATTGATAATAAATTTTGAATATTCCGCATGGAATTATCAAAAGGTTATGATGTCTAAATATTAATTAATAAGTTACAAATTTAGAAAAAAAAATGACAGCACTGGTTTCTCAGGGTGGTAACAAAAGTGTGCGTCACAACAGTACAAATGGGAAAGTGTGCGTCACAACAGTACAAATGGGAAAGTGTGCGTCACAACAGTACAAATGGGAAAGTGTGCGTCACAACAGTACAAATGGGAAAGTGTGCGTCACAACAGTACAAATGGGAAAGTGTGTGTCACAACATTTGAGAGTGACATTTTTCTATGGATGGAAGAGGACATAGAGCATTCTTGCTAGGACTTGTGTAACGATATTTTGTATAGAATGTGTAGCATTTCTGGTCACGTTTTTATTCTGAACACTCAAGATTATTTCCTATGTATTTGTTTCACTGTCATGCATATGAAGCCAAAAAATAATAAGACAACTGAATCTAAGCATCGTTTGTTATGATACTTGAAACATTCAGCACATCAGCTCCCTGGGGACTAGAAATAAAGGGGATCTAGATCCTTAAAACTGTTCTGTGGCTATTACGTAGCGGACGGGACCTCTAGACAATGTACTTCACGCCACATTAATGTCTAATGGTCGTCTAACCTTGACGTCAGATGCTGACTGGTTTGGATAGTGTCTCTCACTTCGTCCCACGGACTAGTGCAACTGATACCAAAATACTAAACACTGAAAAGTCTGCTGCACGCCATGCGTTTATTACACATCATCACAAAATGGCGGAGTAATATATACTGTACTCAAAATCCGATTCATTACACAAATCAAAGTACTTCTTAACAATGCATCCAGCCAAAATACACAAGACAAAACAAGCTACACTGTGAATATCATTCAACTCTACCACACAGCCCTCAATACACTATGACAACAACGAAAATAACAAGTCATTTACCTTTAACTAAATACGTCATAAAAACTCTCAACATAATATACACAGTTACACTTAACATCTTTTTCCATACTAAAGCTACCCTTAACATCTTTTTCCATACTACAGCTACACTTAACATCTTTTTCCACACTACAGCTACACTTAACATCTTTTTCCATACTACAGCTACACTTAACATCTTTTTCCATTCTACAGCTACACTTAACATCTTTTTCCATACTACAGCTACACTTAACATCTTTTCCATACTACAGCTACCCTTAACATCTTTTTCCATACTACAGCTACCCTTAACATCTTTTTCCATACTACAGCTACACTTAACATCTTTTTCCATACTACAGCTACACTTAACATCTTTTTCCATACTACAGCTACCCTTAACATCTTTTTCCATACTACAGCTACACTTAACATCTTTTTCCATACTACAGCTACACTTAACATCTTTTCCATACTACAGCTACACTTAACATATTTTCCATACTACAGCTACACTTAACATCTTTTCCATACTACAGCTACACTTAACATCTTTTTCCATTCTACAGCTACACTTAACATCTTTTTCCATACTACAGCTACACTTAACATCTTTTTCCATATCAAACAGTGATTCTCATTTCCCTTGACAATGGTTACAGTGCTGGAATCTTAGAATCCGTCCTCAGAGAACTGATCCTCAACCCATCTGCAAAGGTGTGGTGATTACTTGCACTATGGCATACGGCGATATAGTATTTTAGTAACCAGGAAATAAGTGAACAATACACGAAAAGAAAGAATTACATTTTTTCAAAATTATTGAGCAAACAGATCAATTTTCAACTATAAAGATTTCAGATCGAGGCAACTGAGGAGATAGGAGCTTTAAATGCAAATATCCATTTGTGTGTAACCTTATTCGTCTTTACTATAGTCAGCGCAAGCATGCATGGTTATCATTGACATATGGCAAAAGATTCTTTTCAACCATAATCACAAAATGAATATAAATATAATACATTTTTTAATATTCAACATCAAAACAACCATTCTTAGATAAAAACATCCCTTGACTAAATCACCATCCTAAAAATGTAATGAAGTCTAAATACGTAAATCTCAAAACGACACAGTTTTGAGACGCATGCCGATCATTGTAAAAAAATAAACATAAAAGAATTAAACAAATTCATTCGTTTCAGAATGATCAGGCATTGAACATGAAAAACTAAACTATATACATGGTAATACAGTATATTCAATACAAGGAATTAAAGGGAAATGTTTAACCAAGCCACTTGGTTTTTATCAATGTCTGCATTCAGGACTCACTAATTAATGTATGTGTGGTAGCTTTGTTTGACGGTTTTGAAGGAACCGATTCTACATTTTACCTGGGTATTTAGTGTTGATTTACTGTAATTCGTCATTGGCTAAAATCCATATTATGTGCTAACTGAGACCAATGACATTAATATTTAGACGCGTAATAAGATTTCTGTAACGGACAATGTTTTCACATGAAAACAGAGAGGTAGCATGAGTGAACAGTTAATGGTGTTGACCATGTTTTGTCCACGAGGACAATGAATTGTATTTTGAGAGGACAATGTGAACTCCACGTTTTTGGAGAGTAAAATTATGTTTTTGTCAGAGCGGTTGTTTTCCACGCTTTGCTGGTAATAAAGTATGAGTTGACTGAGATAGTGAGAGCTGAGCGCAGAATAGTGTGAGGACGTGTCTTTATTAATGATGGAGTACTATGGATATATATATGAAATTACATTCATGCAAGGATTATTTATTAATATTATCAATATAAAGTGTGTTCAATAAAGTACTGTAAGTTTAACCAGGATTCAGTATTCTTATTTGCGTGCCCGGA